CTCTTAAACCTTCTCCCATATACATAGATCAAAAATATAATTTGAAAGCAGCACCACAAGGAGCATAGTCTAGTCAACCATTAGTTGAGTAAGAAAAAAGAAAACAAATACTATTTAGACTCCTGTGACAAAACAGAATAAAGGCAAAATTCCTGCTTTGACAGAACAAAATTTGGCCAGCTATGCATGTGATATTTCATTCTGCATGCTGTATCATTTTAAAATTATATCATACCTGACTAATAGGGATGCAAGAACAATAAAAAGATAAGGAATATTTAATATAGAATAGAAAAGAAGTCATCAAGACATAATAATCTGTGTTTAAACAATGAAGATCTTGAGCTATCATAAAGAAGTCTGACTGAATTTGTCAGTATGGTCCTACAAAGCAAAATTAAAACCCGTGTCTCCACAAATAAAAACAAAAAAAACACAAAAAAAAAAACAATAAAAACCTTTGTAACTATTTGCACCAATTCAAACCAAAGCAGGACTTCTTTGGGAGACTACTGATTACCTAATACTAATATGTTAGGAAGATCATAAAAGAGTGTCATTTGGACAAAGGTTTGTTAACTATTATCAGTGCTTTTCAAAGTTTCATTATTTTAGAACCATCTAGAGCTGGATAAAAATACAGTAGTTTCTACAGTTCTGGTAAAGGCCTGGATTAGTCTAGTAAAGATCTAATTAGCTCCCAAGTGATACTTGCAATGCTGGCATGTAGACTACACTTTGGGAAGCAAAGAACCTGTTAGCTGACCTTCAGGGATAATAGCCAATAGTTCTCTGAGAGGAGCAGAGGAAGCAGAAAGGTAAGAATTTTACTTGAATACACTTGAGAACAAAGGCATTAGCAGCATTTTCTGGAAACAATGGATATGATAAAAGTCCACTCAGTAAATTCACATCTTTGAAGAATCTTTTCTAAAGAAAGTTCTTACTAAATGTTTACATATAAAATAAATGGAATGATCCATTTTCATTAGAAAAGGCCAGTTATTTTCAACAATTGAACTTAATACTGCTTACTAGTTCCATTTTAATAATTCTATATTAAATTCAAGAGTATAAGTATTGGTCTAATTTATTTTTAAAAAGCCCTTCAGAATTATTCATCTTCCCTCAAACATTTTTTTGTTCACAAGCTTTGCTTTGCTATTCTACCATTTATAGAGACCAGTTCTTTCCAACTAGCTGAATCATCAGTGTCCCTCTACCCTGGGGAATGCAAGGAAAGCAGCGTCTGTGACTAAACCAAGCAGAAAAAAGTTCTACCATGCCAATATTTATTTTAGCAACCTACTCCAAGCATACCCCTTTCTGTCATGTAGTAACAATCTCACCTGGCACAGTATCACTTGGTATCTCCAATATCAGTCTTTTCATATGTTAAATACTTCTAACACTTCTATTTGTGATAAAGCTGGCAATCTCCCTATTTTTCAATTTATACATTCAATATTGTTTTATACTGCTTTGTATATAAAATCAGGAGGATCCTTAATCTATAAATTTCCCCACATGGAATTATGATAGTTAATTTGACAAGGAAACATTATATCATTTTAGATCAAATAACCAAAGGCTATAATTTTTGACTGGTTTTAGAGTACTTCAGTCATTTCTGTCTTTACTTTATAAACATATTTCGTTCTAGGCAAAAGTATGAAAAATTTATACTGAAAAATGTATATATATATATATATATATATATATATATATATGCCATAATATAGACACAGTTCTGTATAGTGTCTGAATTATTCTCTTTTGTATACAAACTACTAAGCTCAAAATGTTATTAAAATACTTTATTGAAAATGACACATTAACTTCAAATATAAACTCAGATAAGTTGTCTTAATAGGATTATAGTAATTTATTGATTTTAAGTTATCTATATTTGATTTTCATATTATTAAAATATTGTATTTTATATTCTTATTATAACTGTATCCTGTAAGGAAATTATCTTCCATTAGTTCTACACACCAAGTACTCAAATTTCCTCCAGTGTGTCCCAATGTGCCACATAAATATCATTTCCTAGATTGAGAAACCCACTAATGAAATGTTGTTTCTAATATATATTCTATTCCAAAACGCCTTTTGTTTTAATTCCAGCATGTGGTAGTTATTACTCATAGAAAATATTTAAATATACATAATATTGGGAAATATGAAACTAAGTTATTTCCTTGCCATCCCTTTCTATTTATAAATAATATTGTGTTTGGCTACCCAGGCTGAACTGAAGCCATCACCCTCCCTCGACAGTCTTAATTATTTCTGAAAACTTTGGAATAGCATTATTCTAAGGCTGGAAATGTTTTTTTTCAGTATTATTCTAAGGCTGGAAATGTTTTTTTTTTTCAGTATTATTCCAAGGCTGGAAATGTTTTTTTTTTTATTTTTTGTCATTCAATTTGTAGTAAATAAATCGCATATTATGTCAGGCTGCATATTTAATTTTATAGTAGCATAAGTTTTTATAAAGTTGCTTTCTAAGGCCAAATAGAGGTCAAGATCCATAGGAACTTATTCCTTCTTTCACACTAACTTTACACTTATTACTTTTCCAAATATCCAATACGTTATTAACTGAATCACTGGGCAGTGGGAGCAGTCACAGTGGGCATGCCACAATAGAAACATGACTCTCTTCATTATCTGAATTATTCCCTAATCTATAAAAATTAGTGAGACCAAAATGTTACTAAAAACAATTTAAGGGCTAGAGAGACAACTGCAGCACAAATGAAAACCTGAGTTTAGATCCCAGTAACCAAGTCTTTGTTTGTTTGTTTGTTTGGTTGGTTGGTTGGTTTTTTGTTTTTTGTTTTTGTTTGTTTGTTTTCTTTTTAAAGAAGGCCCAAGGACAGAAACAGGGAGATCACTGGGGCTTGCTGACTGACAGCCTAGCCCAGTTCAGTGAGAGACTTTGTCTCAAAGGGAAATAAGACAAAAAGTGATAGAGCAGAACACCCAGCATTGTGTTCTGGCCTCTGAGCATACACACAGATATACACAAACACACATTCCCTCCTCCCCCACACACTTAGTACTACTGAACCCTCCGTCAAGTCTTGCCTCCTCTGCATATAATGGAGAATATCTCTTGCTTCTTTTCTCTCTTTGTTGTGCCCTTTCCCTGTAGCCTTCCTTTTCTTGCTTCATGTCATACACCTTCCCCTATCCTCTACTCCCACCTCCCTTAGTAGGTTAAAGAATCTTTTTCAGAAAAAAATACACCTCTCATTTTCTTTCCTTGCCATAGCAGTCGGATGAACAAGATGCACATAGTAACCATCATGACCGTCATCTGAGTCAGGTAAAAACACGTGCAATATAAAAATGATATAAAATAGCTTTCTCAACAACAACAACATTTGAATCATAAAAAAATAAGGAAGACTAAGAGACATGAATAAAAACTAACAGAGTGTACTTGATGTTGAGAAGCATGTATAATCGAAGATCACAAAATTAAAGATCCTTATAACGAAAATTGAGGAGAATGAATTTACTTATTTTGTGGCCCCAGAACTTTCTCATTTTGCCAGTATAAATGTTATAGTATGAAAATGACTCACAAACATCACCTTTAAATACCAATAATAATAATAATATAATAATAATAATTAATAATAATTAGTTACATATTATATTTCAAATTTTTTTCAAATTTTACAAATTACATGTAGAAAGCTAGAAAATATATAAAATATATAAATATATATATATTATTTTTTTATAAAGTGTTTTCTCAAATTTTCTAATTCACTATATTTTATTTTGCTGTTGAAAGGTGGGAAAGACCCAGGTCAAACAGAAAGCTGCTGAGAGCTGGCCAGAGCAGCATAGCAAAGACCTTTTCTGCTCAGAAGGCCAAAGGCTAAGTATACACTGTCACGGAAGCCCTAAGCTTGTCGCTGTCCAGACCTCGGTGCTGAATATTAAAGGCTTTGCTCTCAGCTGTCCAGACGGAGTCCATCAAGGCAGTGTGAAGGTAGTCTCAAAGGTGGGCATAGGGACCTTCTCTTATTCTCCCTCTAAGGACAATCTGTATTCTACAAAGATACATGCAGTATATTATGTGAAAGTACTGGAACAACTTCAAGGCAGAGCCAAAATTGAAATCTTCAGTGAGGGAAAAATAGGAAGTTCTGGGTTAATGAAACTTGCCCCTCCCTTCTCTGAGTCAATATAAAAGTCTTTGGGGGCTCTGAAACTCCTCGTTGAAATTTTAAAACATGTTTCTATTTTAAAAACTCATGTTGCTAATCAATCAATCAATCAATCAATCAATCAATTTTCTCTTACTCTTTTTTAATGCAAACACGGTAATGATGGTGGCGCTGGGCTCCAAATGGTCTGTAATCGAATTTTACAAACTGCTTTTGTGTGGTTCAGAAGCAAGGGAGGAGGAACTGCAAGTGATTTAAAACACACTATAGAAACATTGTTTCAACACTGTATAGAGGAAGTGCTTATTTTCTTAGGTGATATGAAGCAATGCATCAGGATAGCTGTCCTCCTCTGCTCCCAGCCTCTGAAAGATCAAAGCAGGAGTCCTAGGTTGTCTCTGTTTTACAGCAAATGCTGATATTCAAGAGCCATTATAAGATTCCTCATCACCAGGCACATTCATAGGAGATATAAACTAACACAGAGGAAATAGACGGAAGGCGGGGGTGGGAGGAAGGGGGTGAGGGGTAAGTGTTGTGCTTCCTGCCTTGGGATCTTGGTGGTTATATTCAAATGAGGGTATTCTCTTTGAAGAATGGAAATGTTTCTCTTACGTTATTTATGAACAGATAGCAGGACTGATTGATCCCACCAGTTTTGTTTTTTGTTTTGTTTTTCTTTTTCTTAATCCTTCCCTGCCTATTTTAGACGCTTCTCCACCCCGCCGGGAATACCATCCAGTTCTCAGTCCAGGTAGATCTGACGTCAAGGGATGGCTTTCGTCGATTTGACGTGTAAACACTCATTTCTATTCTGCCTGGGAAGACTGGGGCTCCACTCAGCCGGGAGACTAAAGCACTTCAGTGAGCGCTCGCTCGCTTGTCGCCGCCCAGCCTCTCCCAGCAAGCCTCTAGTAGAGCAACCCGGAGAGGTTCTGAGCTGCAGGGTGGATAGGTGGAGTCTAGCTGGTGTGTCTCTGATCTTGCTTCTTTTCTCTCAGTCCTTCCTACTTGTGTGAGAGCAAGGTTTTGAGCCATGGAGCAAAGAGGTTGGACTCTGCAGTGTACTGCTTTCGCCTTCTTTTGCGTTTGGTGTGCACTGAACAGTGTAAAAGCGAAGAGGCAGTTTGTCAATGAATGGGCGGCGGAGATCCCTGGAGGGCCAGAAGCTGCCTCTGCCATCGCCGAAGAACTGGGCTATGACCTCTTGGGTCAGGTAAGAGTTTCCACTTTCCAGAAACTTTCTGGGGTTTGAGGACGCTGGTAGGGCTGAAGTGCAGGCTCCCAAGTGGGAGCCGCAGATTGCGCTACCCGGCGCTCAGTGTTGCAAGCAGCTAGGAGAATCCCCCTCTAACTCCCCACCCCTCCCCGCGCGCTTTTAGAGGGGAAATGCTTGCATTATTTATTGTTTGGGCTGGGCGCCGCTAAACAAGAGGAAGCTGCCCCAGCTCAGCCGAGTCTGTTCTCTCTGTTGTCGGCTCTAGACTTAAAATCTGCTTCCTCGAGGTTTGGAAAAAAAAAAAAAACTACGTTTGTTCAGGGAACTTGTGGTGCACACAGGCTCTCGCCTTTCTTGGGAAAGGAAGTGCGCTCGGTCCCCTTGGGACACAGGCGGCTTGTGTCCAGAGCCGGCGCTTTCCTTCTTTTCAATATGGCAGCACCAGCTACCAGTTCTGAAAACAGGGGCCAGGCAGGCTTGGAGATGCCTGTGTGTAAGGGCACGCCCAGCTGCTGGGACTAGTGACTCCGAGGTCAGGTGATGGTGGTGGTAGTTTAGAGTCTGTAGGGGAAACTGGAAGGAAGGGCTTTAGGTAAGGGAAAGAGTCCAGTGGGGGAGTTCATGGTTTTTGCTGTTAACTTGTAAAGTCCAAGCTTCCTAACTTTGCATGGCCAATGTCTTAGAAGCCCAGTTGCAGAAATGACTGTGAAGAAAGGATCTCTTTCCATCTTGTTCCTCGGCCAAATGCACAAACATTTCCTGGGGTTTTCGGGCTATGAGATAATCTAATATTTGTCCAAGTGTATGCTGAATTAACAGACAGGTGGAGGTGGGAAGGGACGCGCAGAAGCCTTAAGTGGGAGCCTGCTTGGCAGAGCAGTCCCAAAGGGGGACTCACAGAGAGTGTGATTTCTAACCTGAGCCTTTCTTTCCCTTGAAATGGAGTCAAATCCCTGACCATGGTCAGAGAAATTGTCTACAGTTAAGCAGGGGGAGGAGGGAGTAAAGAGTTGTAAAACATTTTGGCGCGTTTTCTATTCTGGAGGTGATGACTGAGACTCTGAAGTCACAGATGAGTAATCAGTGTAGGCGGTGTCTATTCCATACATCAAATCCACTAGGAAATACGCCTTCTCTAGCCAGAGGCTTCATTCTTTAACTTTGTGAGCTAAATGGTCTTGAAAGGCCCAGCATGAAACTCAATAAAATTCCCAGAACCTTTCTGAACAGTTCCAGGCTGTGCCTTAGGGACTGAAGACGTGCTATGGACAGTAAATTAAAAATAAATAATCGTACCTGAATGTAATTTATGTAAGAGATGTTGTAGTTGGTGGTATAATGCAGCATTTTTTTTTTGATATAAGGAGGAAAAGGTAGAAGGGAATCTGAGGTGGGGGGGGGGGCATGAAAGAAAGCTACTGAAAACATCTACTTATACAAGAATCGAGAAAAGTCTGAGGCTTCCAGAAGAAAATGGTGAGTGAGACTGGAGAAGGCACTGCAGGCATCGAAAGTAGCTTACAGGGGAAACAGACACAAAGCTGCTTCATATTGTTTGATTATTGTGTGCAACTCTTGAGCATTTGGGGACCAAAGAGAGAGAGTAGTTTATGGAATTATCTGGGTGGGTAATATAAGCACCATGGAAATTTGTATGTCCTGGGTGGGAGAAGTGCTATTTAGTCAACAGCTTGGTATTTGTGACTGGAAAAGAAAGAAAACATAAGACTTTCCTCCCCAACATGTCACATGTCAGCATCATACACACATCTCCACCTAGACCACTAAGTATGAAAATTATTTTTCAAAATAAATTAACTTCCCTCTAGTCATTTTTTTGTTAAAATAACAAAAGTTTCAAAATTAATTTGTAAAAGACTACTGGTGCTTTCCTAGCTTTGCTTACTTTCCATTTTAGGGAGCATCTCTAAAACCACACTAAGACAAATATCTTAACATTACAGCCTCGTGACAGAGCTAGGAAGAGGGGAGAGACAAGGAGCAGAGCTGGCTGGTGGTAGAAACAGAGCTCTGCAACCCTAACCTTGTCCCATAGCTTCCACCATGTAGTCCCGGTCCCATTTAAGGCTCTCAGCAGATTCTCTGCCCAAGGCTCTGTTTTGGAAGCAAGCCTCAGAATTTCTACTGAAAACAGATTTCTTTGGTGATGAGAACTAACAACTTAAAGAACATCCATTGCTTTTGAAACACTACAATCATTTATTCTTTAATTTAAAAAAATAGGCATTAACTGATTTAGTCAATTTACATTTTGTACTATTTTATGTAAAAAGCAATATTAAACAATAGTTCTAAATGAACCTGAGGGTAACCACCAAAGAACTTTGATAACCACCAAAGAAGTACACATATCCAGAGGTGAGGCCTCTGTTTTAAATACAGTACACTCCTGAAAACATTGAACTTATAAACAGAATCACCAATAATGGCTGATAACATATATCACAATTGACTCAAACACTTTTTACCTACAATATCTTGTTTTAACTGAATGTTAAATTTATTTAACTAATAAACTGGACCGGATTTTCATGTATTCCAGAAATAATTGTTTCCTGACGCGATATGTTTGTTTAAATAGTCACTGAGAAATATTTATTCCAAGAAAATACAAGGTACTTCCTTAAAATATATGAAACAGAAGCATCACTATTCTCAAGCATGAAGCAAAAGTGAGATATATACCAAGGGTCATCTCAAATCTTCTGTGCCTTTCTCATAAGAAAAAAGTTAATTTCAGTGGATTTAATGGAAAATACTTTTATTAATAAAAGACAACTAGCTGTGTTAGTGGATTTTTTAAAAGAGTCTCTCTATATATTTTGAAGAAAGTGGATTGTTTTTTGATTTTTTTTAAATAGATTGGATCACTTGAAAATCACTATTTATTCAAACACAAAAATCATCCTCGAAGGTCCCGAAGGAGTGCTCTTCATATCACTAAGAGGTTATCTGATGATGATCGTGTAAGTGTGCATTTGTTCTTAAATTCTCAGCCTATCCAACTGTTTCTATATGACTCCCAACAGAAGCATTTGATCCTTTTGTATTGTGACCACGATTACTGATCTATAATGATCTACATGATTATTATTATTGCTTATTATTTCCTTCTGTGGAATTGTGCTCATAATATGCTTGGATTGAATTATGCTAACAAATGTTAATTTTATATATATGCTGAGTTATGTGTGCTCTATATTTACATATCTAAAGTTGAGTTCTGAGTGCAGAAAATCACAAAGAGGCCTTGATGAAATGATTGACTGTAGTCACTCAACAGCCTTCTATATGTTATGTAGCAAATATGAAATATTCCTTCTTGAAATCCTTCAACTCAGAATATGTAAAGATTATTTTAATATTTATTCAATGATGCCTACGAGATGTGTAGGCCTCATTTTTAATAACACTTCCATGTACACTTCCAGTGTACCTTTTGCACTGATAAAAAAAAATATTAGTACTTACAAGCAAGCTTCTACTCCACTTCTTTATGAGGTAAGTGCTTCAAAACATGTTATGTTTGTCAGTATCAGCTCTTTTTCATCCTGGTTTGTATACCAAGTCATAATTATTTTGTAACAGCTAAAAATATCTAGGATAAATATAGATAAATAGGGTAAAAAAATTGAATACATATTTAATATACCTATTGACTTGAGAGCCTAATTTCGAGATTAGCAGTTATGCTGTTAGAAAAGAATGAATACATTAGTAGTGTTGGAATACTGTATGACAGACAATGTTGTCCTTTTTTTCTGACTATGGCATTCCTGAAGAAATGCCTTCTAGTTGGATGAATGTCTATGTACAAGACTAATTTTGGTTAGGACACCTAGAGAATAACAGTGAGAAATATAAAGCATTGTTTCAACTTTGGGAGGGTGAAGATGATACAGAAAGGAGATGGCGACATAACCGTTGAAAATATATGGGATATAGGAAGCCTAGGAACCACTCTCTGGTTTGGCTTGCTCCTTGAATTATTTTTCTTTAATAAGAAAACAAATTTTGTAGGGTTCAAAAGTAGTACAACCTACCACATTGATACTACTTTATCAGGACCGAGAACCACAATCCTACAGTTTATGCTGGCCTTATTGCTAGCTCTTTATGTCAACCTATGGCTAGATGTAGCGGACAAAACTGGAAACCAGCAACCTTAATCAAAAATTTCTTTTGTCTAGTGAGATATTCTCTTATGCCCCTAACCAAAGTAGATGGCTTCCTGTATGTGGGCTCTAAAACGCAGACTAGCCTCCAGTATTCTAACTGGAGTAAAATCCTTGGACAAGGCAGAAAGAATCCCTTCTCTGCCTAAATAGATTCCCAATGTTAATATATGAGGAATTCAAACTGAAATCCCTTCTCATTTTCATGGAAGAACCTGCACAGAGTAGAGTGTTCCAGCTATTCTCATGCAAAGTGTTTCATGCAAATGAACAGATGGTTTAATTCTCCTCTTCAATTATTTCAGTTAATTTTGGGGGGAATCCCAAGATACAACAAAAGGATAATAATTACTTACCAATAAAAATTTATTACAAATAAGTTATATAATCTTACAAAAATTTTACCTCAGAATAATTTTACTTTAGGAGATATGTTGGAATCCTAGAAGCTTGCATTGGACAAGATGGCATTTAGTACTTTTTGCAGATCCAAAGAATTATTTACAATGAAATACATGATACTTTGTTGTGGATAGTCCTGGACTATTATGCACATAATCAGAAGGCACTGACAATTTTCTCCATTCCATTTAGTCTGCTCGTCTAGAGATTAATATGTAATTCTGGTTAATGATATTAATCACAGTGTGGTTTGCTACAATTGGATGTTTATCTGATCAAATGGTAATGCCACTTTTTTATGCCATTTTAAAAACCTGCTCTTGATTTTCACTTGCTGCACTTTGAATGGAGGAAAATATTCTCCAAAATATTTTAAATATAAATATTTTAAATATACTCCATGAAATGCACCAAAAAGTCCATCTTTACAGGCTGATGAAATTCTCAACTTTAAGAGGTCCCTTCCCACAAAGATTTATATGTGTCTCCTAGCAGCCAGCTTCCAAATACTAAGTTAGACAACAGGAAATGAATTTTAAGTAGTGTGGTATTTTAAGGCAAAACGATTGAGTCTGAAAATACAGGCACTTTAAAATAAATTATAGTGACTAATTGCTGGCTCTCCAGTCCCTCCTGATATTTATAATTGGCTTCCAATATACTTTCTAATTAAAAATTCAAGACATTCCTAGTGGATATCTTTGGTCTTCAGCTGAAAATTCGTTTTCAGTTTTTATTTTTGGATTTGACTCATAGAAATTCTCATATTAAACATATCCTACCTCACAGTGGACTGTCACCACATACATAACAGAAAAATTTTGTTTGGAGCAGGAAAGAGTCATGTTCCCCAGCAAAATAAGAAAATAGTATTATCTCATAATGATAATAACTACAAGATAGTCCTGTATTCTCTCCAGGCCTCAAGTATAATAAGATTATGCCACAGATGTGGGCCAGGTAGTTTTTGCCAGATCTGCTTGCATAATGTATGAGGCAGAATTAATGACAGGTGTGCCTGGTCAGTAATGCTAATTTATCACCTCAGGTCTTCAATCAGTTTCTCACATTAAATACTCTTAGGCAGGAGGTAGAAACACAGGGGAGCCAAAGTTTCAAATTTCACACATAGCACCATTCTTGCATAACACTTGAAATTTTTACCTTTGAGTGTGGAGAGTGAAATGAAGCAGCAAGAGTGCTGTAACAACAGTCCCTGAGGTGCCCCCCTCCCCTGGCTTGTTGACTCATCTACGAAAATGGACAAATTTGTATTGTGGCCTGTTTTCTGATGACAGCAGTCTGCAGGTCTATTCCAATTGTAAGCACAGTGGGAATAATCGGAAGGTCTCACTGCTGCATTTACTGCTTCTCCTCTTGCTAAGAGTACACTTTTACTATAATGGAGGAAACACTTGTTTCCTCAGTGGGCAATCTTTTCTTCTCCCTAGGCTGGGAGTTTGAGCTACAGTCAGACAAAAACATCACTATGATAAGTGAGTTTTGGGGAGGAGAGTCTCAGAGATAGGGGGGAGATAGTTATATCTAGGTAGAAACATGACTAATTTTCTTATAAAAATATTTGTAGGTGATATGGGCTGAACAACAGTACGGAAAAGAGAGAAGTAAACGTTCAGTTCAAAGAGACTCAGCATTGAATCTCTTCAATGATCCAATGTGGAATCAGCAGTGGTACTTGGTAAGTACTAAAAGGACCATTTAGGAACTAGGCTCTTTATACTGCTACATCATCTTCATGGTGGTTCTGTCTATCTGTGTATCTGTATTAGAGTTTCTCGAGAACAGAATTTATAGAAAAAACTATCTATATATCATCTACATCTGTCTATATTTATCATATATAAAGGAGATTTATTAGAATGGCTTATGAGCTGTGTTCCAGCTATTCCAACAATGGCCTTCTACCAATAGAAAGTCCAAGAACCCAGTAGTTGTTCATTTCTTGAGTCTGGAAGTCTCAGCTGGTCTTCTGTATATACTGAAATCATTAATGCCAGGAAAGGACTAGACTTGCTAATGAAAGCAAAAGGCAAAGAAAGAGCTAGCTTTTTTCTTCCATGTCCTCCTTATAGATACCTGCCAAAGGTATGGCCCAGCTTAAAAGTGTATCTTTCTACCTCAAAAGATCTGGATTAGAAGTAGATCTTCTCACTTCAAATATTTAATTAAGAAGAAAATCTGTCACAGGTGTGCCCAACCACTTACATTTTAATTAATTCCAAATGTACTTTAGTTGACAACCAAGAACAGTCATCACAATGTCTAATATACAATTTGGCAGAAGGATATACTATCTAAAAAGCAGCGCTGATGGAAGTTTCTTTGACCTGAATCTTTTGTTTTGCTGAATGGCTGTCTAAAACAAATCCAACTGTTAATGCTCCTTGTCTGTGTGTCTTCTTAAGTATAGCTGGTGTAAGTGCAGAGGAATCATGTCCTAGCCAGAAAGAATTTTCAGACACATCACTCATATTAAGACCACTATGGTTGTAGAATGTACTCTAGAGAATTCTCTAGATCACTCATAGACAATAGTCAAAACAATGTGCAGTTCAAACCAACAGTTCTTGGACATAATTCAAATAAGAATCTTTAAATGAGGCAAAAGGAAGAAATGCTAGGAAACTTTACTTAAAAATACTTAGATTTGCAAATCATTGTTCCTTTAAGGTGTTTAGGACGCCTTGACTGATGTATGAACGTGCCTTCAACAAGTTCTCTGATGTTGTAATGTCAAGCCTCTATAGTAGACGCATAGACTACTATAGAAGGATTTGTTGCTGGAAATAGAGTAAAAGATAATTTTCACAGCCACAAACTAAGGTTTTTGTTTCTATATTAGATATGGAAGGCCATCAGTTCCTCGTGCCATTCTTTTAAATTAAGGAATACTTGCTGATCCCAGCAGAAGACATGTGTCCACTAACATATTTTGTATATTGACTAAAAAAATCTTAAGTTGCATTCTAAGTATTTATACTAAAGTATAACTAACTCATTTTGTTTTACAACTATCTTATATTACTAAGATAGATAGAACTACTAATTTTAACCATATCAGTGATGAAGAACCAAAGACATTGCCAAGTTTAATAATTTATTTAAATCTTGTGGCCAGTACTAGGAGGATCATAATTCATGACTTCAGGGGCCATATTCTTAACAACTATACACTATAATTACTGTTAAAACTTACATGGGAGCCTTCTTCTCTACCATAGGCCTATCAAATTGTTATGTATTTCCAAGTCTCCTGATGCAGCCTCACAATTGCCTAATGAATCTTCCTCACTACTACATATTATGGGCTTTTTATTATGGTTATATAAATACTGCTTGCTGACTCCATCACCATGAAACTGGTACTGATTTACTACTTGTCTCATATGCTTAGGAATGTGTTCATATCTGTGTTATACTGTTGTCCAGCTCTCCTGTATAGTCCCACAGACTATATCAGGAAAATCACCTGAAAAGGAGAAGAATTACATAAATTCCATTTATGTAGAAAAAGTTTATTAAATTTCAATTTCTAGTAAGACTATAGTCTTCTAGCCATCCCATGTGCTTATTTCTCTCTTAGGAAAATATTTTTTCAAGAAACATAAGTGGTGAGTCCTCAGTGTGCCAATGAAGACTTCAGGGAGAAAAAAGCATTACCATCAGATAAAGCTTTAGTACAAGGAAAGCTTGTGCTTGTTACTACAACTAGAAAAAAAGAAAATATGTAGTTAAGATAAAAGAATAATTCATGTCTCATGATTTTTCCTTAGGACAACTAAAAGACTAGCATAAAATGGGTTATTTGGCTTGTGCCCTCAACTTTGTGCTTCCACTTTACCCAATTCCTTCCTTGTTATTCAAGGAAGAAGAAAAATAGCCTTAAGCAAGAAAGATCATAATTTTTCCCAATGTCTTTTGTTTTTCTTCAATAGCAAGATACCAGAATGACTGCAGTTCTTCCCAAGCTGGACCTTCATGTAATACCTGTTTGGCAAAAGGGTATTACTGGCAAAGGAGTTGTTATTACTGTACTGGACGATGGCTTGGAGTGGAATCACACAGACATTTATACCAATTATGTGAGTCTGAGCTGTCCTGTATCCATATCTGCAGACATGCAGGGCTTTTCTTTTCTTGAAGAGAGATGAGCTGCCCTAGAGTCAGTCTCTGGGTCTACTATCAGTCTGTCTAAACTTGTTTTATATTAGAAGGCATAAGAAGAATCCAGTAAACTCAAATATTACACATGACAATGAAACTGTTAAAAATCCCTTCAGACCAAAAGTTGTACTATATTTAGAGCTGAAATCAGTCAGACCAAGCTTAATGTCTGCAACCATTTTATTGGTTACTTTCTCAAATTCTTTATGGCTCAGTATCCCTTCAGCCTAAAGTTACATAAATGTAATTCTCACTACACAAAATCAAGATGAGCAGCACAACAAAAATGCCAAGCCAAGAATGGAAGAGTTTACTAGAAGTGGGAAGATGAATAATTGTCAATGTAGTTCCTAATAGAACAAGGACTCCATAATGGATCTTTTGTCTTTATAGCAGGATGTTGAATGTTCCATCTATCAAATTATCCTTTCTATTTCTCTTGTTCTTTTTACCTATTCAAAGTTCCTAAGCTATAATTTAAAGCTAAACAGCAAAAAAAAGAGGACAATGGGGAAGAGATTGAAACAATAACCCAGAGTAGAAATGAAGAATTATTAAAATATAGAAGAATAGTAACAGTGGTGACAGAGTATCTACATTAGAGGTGCTTAAATGCAGCACTAAGACTGAAAAAGAAGATAGGCAAGAAAAGCTTTCTTGAATTTCAAGTAAGTTTTCAGTAATTAAATTTCATGGCTTCTTACTTTCTTAAGAAGGCTAAAGAAAAGCATTACAGAAGTTAACACACCCCACAGCCACCTCTTTGCATCTTTGGTATGAAAGGATGTATATCACACATCAATAATTAGCCCTGTGGCCTTAAAAGTCATTCAATGTCTCTGAGCCAATTTGTTTCTGAAAAATGAGACAGCTGAACTATGGAATGCTGACTTTTTCAGCTTTATGAGCATCTTTGAAATATGAGTCTGATACAGTCATTGAGTGTTGGGTGCCTTGCTCATCATTGCTGCTGGTTTGTGAATATAATCAATGCTCAGTTAGGCTAAACAATCTCAATTCCATTCTTTGGAGCTATCTTTCAGGAAGGGCCAGACTCTAATAGTGCTGCCATTTATGACACTATGCTGTTATTCTTTTGTTGTTTCTTTAGGATCCAGAGGCTAGCTATGATTTTAATGATAATGATCATGATCCATTTCCCCGATATGATCCCACAAATGAAAACAAGTGAGTAAAGTGCATTCTGGAGAAATAAAGTTATGTACAATGCTTTCATCTTGTTTTGGAGACTTATGCTATATATAAATTTGGTCTAATTTCTAATCTTGGTAAATGTAAACCACTCTCTATAACATATTTCATTGCTTCTAAAGCAGGAACAAAAACCTGTTTTCATATTCCTTTTAATTTATAGAAACATATTTACTTAAATTTCTTATTTTATAAGATTGTCCTTCTTATATTATAAACTTAGCTCCTCAAGTGTAACTGAGTATTTGTAGCTTTAGGAAGAATATTAGGTATGTAATAGATATAAATTTTATTCTTCTCTTTCCACTTTTTCATGAAAAAGGAACAAAAAGAAATATCCACAACTCAATCCAACGCCCAACAAGTCTCCACTGTGGTAGCAAATATGCTTTGTAATCTAGGTCATGGCTAGACACCAGACAAGAAGATAACAGCTGAGGCTTCTTCTCTGCATCTATCTCAATCTCTAAGGTGTTGAAGCAGTCATGAACCTTCATGGGGAAAAAAGAAGAGAGCTCTTGATTCTTAAGCTAACAGCTTGCACCTTAGAGTCTCACAGTATAAGCGAAGATAAGAACTAGCCAGTCATTCTAAAGCTAGAGGCCAAAGAATGCCAGAAACCAAAGACTTTCAATCTCCTTTCCTAACCCTAGAGAAGCTTTACTCTAGAGACTTAGTCTGAAAGTGGCCATGCCCATTTGAGCACTGCCTTTTATCTCAGACTGATATTTTTTACAAGCTTCAAGAAGACATTCACACTTTACACTTTCTCCACATAGAAGAGACTTTCATCAAAGGAGATGAAATAGGAGTCAAACAAAATTGGAGCTTGTTGCTGTGAGGATAGGAACAATGTTGAAAGAAAGTACACATGAAACATGAAGTGGTTCCCTTTCCTCTGGGGCCCATATGTCTTGGGTAGTAAGGCTAATTTAAAGTTATTTTTTTGACCTGCCTAAGGAACTGCCCTGTCTGCCTTCTTGTGACATGTATGGTACACTTCTTTCATGTAAAGGAGCCTCAACTCACATGATGTCCCTCTCTACCTCAATCTTACTTCCAATGAGAACTCTTGTTTGCCCCATCCTTATCTCAGAAACCTAGACTTTCTCCCCAACTCCACTCCACTCACTCCAACTAGCTCTACACATTCTCATTAATTATATTCGGATACCTGGTCCCTTCTCTAGGCAAGCTACAAACAAGGACCACCTCTCAGGGGCACTTGACTCAGACTAGCAGTCACACTTACCCTTGACTTGACTATGACCCACAAGTCTACCATTCCAACATCTTTTCAGGTAAAGACCTAAGACATGCAGTGCCTACCTCAGCACCTATTACCTGAGGGTATGGCCTGAGACATTGTTCAGTCCCCTGAAGGTTGACTGTGAGGATCCTATAAATCTACAAAAGGTCTTTTTCTGGCCTGCTGATCCAGGACTACCCTTCTAGAAAGCTAACACAGAGCACAAAGAAAGAGCACAAGTGGGTCATATAGACTTGGCTTTCACTTTCAGGTGTCTGTTTCTTCCTTGAAGAAAAGGGAAGGCAGTGTAAGGTTTACATACGATTCTTTAGTAACATTTATCTGGCTTTGAGTAATGTCATTAACCACAAAGACACTTTGAAAACAGCATTCCAGTAACAATAAAATCGAAATGCTACTGGAGCCTCCTTGGGAGAAGTGCAGACATCTTGGAAATGACAGCAGGACTCACAGATAAGCTTTCATATATATTTCTCAATCAAGACAGATAGAAACAAAAGAAATACCAGTTCATTTGGAGCACTTCCATATGGGGTGACCCAGTTGGCAGTTGTATCTTTGCCAGTTACTGGAATAGACTAAGGGTAACCTTAGGGAAATCTCAATGCCTCTCCTTTTTTTCTATTTGCCACCTAAAACTGGCAAGAAGCTGCTTGCTGTCTATATTTCTGAAAGTTCTCGTGAAAGTGAGTAGTAGGTCCTTGAGAATAGGTATTACTTTATTAAAATGGTATGAAACAACATTCATTGTACCCCTAATTAAGACTAAGAGTAATTGGCTTGTAACCAAATGGTGAGTCTGGGGAGACTTAGTGAGAGAAGGCAGTGCACATCCACCTTATGTAGACTGTAGAGTTTGGCTATAGGATAACTATAGTTATCCTGAGTAACAACTTGTATAATGACACCCTGCCATTTCTCTGGTTTTGAGGACTCAGACCTTATATGAACCATATTTGCATTACTGTAACAAATAAAATGAACTCAACTTAGAAAGAGAAAATGTTTCCCTTAGATCACAGTCTCAAAGAATTCCACTGTCAGTTTTCTCTGCTGTTTGGATTTATGGTGGATGATGGTTCCACTGTGGTGGAACAAACTGCTCACCTATCAGTAGCAGGAAGCAGAGAGGAAAAGATCAATATCTCACAATCAACTTTTTAGTATATATCCTTAGTTACAGAAAATCTACCTTTTAAATGTTTAATCTCTTCCAATAGGAACTTTGGGAAACATTCCATATCCAAAATGATCTTCTTTGTTGTTCAAAGAGGTAGTTATGTTACCCTCATAGTGAGTTACAAAGACCCATGTAATAGTGTTGTTTATGTTCATTCTGAAAACCCTGGGTTTCCAGAGCCTTGGCCATCATGGGCCAATATATATATATATATAGTGTGTGTGTGTTTGTGTGTGTGTTTATGTATGTGTGTGTTTAGATCTTAGCATGTTTTGAAAAGGAATATTTTATAAAACTGTATTATTATGGAGAATGGATATTACACAAATATGTATATATTTGTGGACATTAATACAAAGAAATGTATCAATGTAAATAAGTGTTTACTGACATGAGTTTGATGATAAGGTCAATGATAGTGGTGTTGACAATGATGGCCTGGCCGTCAAGGTTTCTCACATAGCAACTGCGATGGACTGCATTTCATTAAGAAATCAGCATGACAAGAAGGGTATTAATTGATAGGAACAGAAGGAGAAACACATTTGGATTTTCATAGCCAATTCAGAATCTGTATCCGAAAATGAAACAATGAGAATATTTCTCAGAACACTCTTGACTAACAACCAGAAAGATAATATCCCAATTGTTTATTAAAAGCTACAATAAAAAGAAATACCTTCTAGCACATTGTCAGTCATAACATCCCTTAAGTTTAGAAAATGAATAGCCCCATTCTGTTCAGCAATTGGAGACTTCTTAGATCCCAATTCTATCAATATTATCTCTCTAAATTATTCTTATCCCTGCTCTTCATCATCACTACATAAGGAACCACATAGAGGCACAAAAGGGCATCCCTCTGCCCATCAAAAGAGGAATCACCAAATAATAAATCTTAAAATTGCAGCAACACTTACTATTAAGTTAGCATGAATCTGTATTCAGTATTTCAATAATTACAGATTATTTTTCTTGTCAAATAATTAGTGTGACAAGAATGTCTTAAGCAAAATAATATTCATTACCTTTTAAATTTTTAAATCAGTTTTTAAAATGTCAGTTACTACCACTATTTTAAGTTAGTAGAAGTTGTTTGTTTGTTTGAGCAACCAACCACATTTTGATTACATTCAAGGCCAGTTCTATGAGATGGAACCCATATGTGACACTGCTAAAGTGGCCATGAGCCCAAAACTGTATAGATTATGAACCTAGGAGAAAATTCAATACTATTGTTCTGCTAAAGGAGCATAACAATAAAATGATTCCTAATGATATATTGCTGTACCCGTAATAAGTTCCTCAGTGCTCTTCAGAGAAGCTTCTTCCAGTACATGGGTGCCAATACTGCTTTCATATATATTGTAGGCAGATTGCTGTTGTGGGTCACAGAACTTGTAGCTCAAAGATACTGATGATTACTTTTCTTTTTAGATAATATGCAGAGTACTTAACAGCACCATGAATACTAGTCAGAATATGGGTGAATTTTTGTAGTTGGCACCAGTTTCATTCTGTGTCTGATGATATAAATAAGAGGTGTTTTCAGCAATTATAGGACCTTGCCATCATGTTGTGGAATGTAACCAACACAAATGACTAAGAAACACTGAGAAAATGTTCAATATCCTTAGTCACCATGAAAATGGCAATTAAAAGTACTTTGAGATTTTATCTTACCCCAGTCAGAATGACCCAAGATAAATTAATCAAATGACAACATATGTTGACGAAAATATAGGAGATAGGGAACACTAATTCATTGCTGGTGAAGGAGCAAACTGTTACAGCCACTGTGGAAATTAGTGTGGATGTTTCCCCAAAAGCTGAAAATAGATCTATCTCAAGGTCAGTCTGTATCACTCTTGGGCATATACCCAAGACCTCTACATCTTCCTACTACTGCAACAGAGTTAGTTACTTGTCTGTCCATGTTTACTGTTGCTTTATTAACAATAACCAGAAATTAGAAACAGCCTAGATGCTCATCAACTGGTGAATGGATAATGACAATGTGTTACATTTACAAAATGGAATATTATTCAACTATTACGAAAAATTAAAATTTGAAAACGTCAGATAAATGGATGGAGCTAGAAACAATCATCTTGAGATAATCTAGAACCCAAGAGAAAAAATACTGCATGTTTTCTGTTAACTGTGGATGCTAGCCTTTAAGCTTTCAATATATGTACTTCAATCTAAGTAACCACAAAAGTTAGGGACCTAATTGGAGACCAGTAGGGAGGGACAGCTATTCCAGGGAAGGAGGAATAGAGTACCATGCTATAAAAAGATAAAGGGGAAACTAGAATAGGATTAAGTAAGACGAAGGTGAGGGAGATGAGTAAAGTAGGGAATATGTGGAGGGACATTAAACACTAAAGTCCTTATGAAAAACCATATGGACACCTATTATTGTACATACTTCTTAAGTATATACTCTGTGAAAGAAATTTAAGTATAATAAATTAATATAATAGGGGAGAGAATACCTCAACTAGACATCTTATACTACCAAGTAAAACCTCCCGTGACAAGCATAGGTTGAATCTTGTTGAGTTTGAACTGACATTATCTAACTGACACAATAATATAAGTTCTGAGTTTGACGTTTGGCCAAATTGTCTCAACATAGGCTATTATGAAGTATCTTTTAAATGTTCTGATTTGTACACATTCTCTAGAACATTTCAGGACAGCTTCATTGCATTTGAGATAATCCTAACTCTAAGGTAAAATGTAAAATGGGGATTTTAAAATCAGCAGCAGATGTTATAAGACCTTGTAAGTTGTGTCATACGTTCCCACACTACCATCTATTGTTAATGCTGCTTGCCTGCTTAACTTCATTCTCCATGGGGTCATGAGTGGCAACAAGATACACCTGACTTTCTTGTTCCCTCCTGTTTAACGATTATAAAAAAGGACTGTATTTTCTTCCCCCAAATCAGCATCAGTACTTGAAAGCTGACTGAGGAGAGGTGTGGTACTTCAGAGAAAAGAGTAAGCAGAACTGTCTTTATTGGCTCAGTAACTTCAGGAATTTTATTCTGCACAGGGAAGAATTACTCTATAGCTAGTGCAGTACTTTCTATAGGTATCTGGCTAGTGTTGCTATTAAAAGGAACTCTTCTTTTTTTCTTCATTTCAGCTTATCTGTCAGTGGCTCCTGTAAGTCACTAGCAGCTGTTGTACTACAGCCAGGTGTTTCTACAATAGATTCCCCTCAGCATTATCATCAGTTATGAGCCTTCCTGAGTCAGTCTGGTGGAAAATAAAAACAATTATTTCCTCCAGAATTTTAGAACTGATGCTTCAGTGCTAGAAATTAGTGTGTTCAAGGGTGGATAAATCCCACCAAATACTCTGAAATTATCAATTCCTTTCTTTGGCTGATTGGAAAGCAGCCTTTAGGAGAATGTCTCATTTCTCAGTCAGTAGTATCCCCAGAAAATCACATATTCTTCTTAGTAACAGGAAGTCATTGACTATTATAGTGTGATGCATAGTAAGGAGAACAAGGAACTAACAAGGGGACCCTAGTCTACTTAGTAGGGCTAATTGAGGACCACTAAATCCAAGGCCACTCTGACAACAGAAAGTAAGGAACAATTTCATGGCCAATATGAAAGGATCAAAAGACATTTTAGTGACACTGTCCTTAGGTGTTACCATATCCCCAATAATGTCAGAAATTACATTGGCTCAGTGGTTGTAGTGGCTGGGCTCTTAATATATGTTCTAAGTGCTTTGCATAAACAACTCACATGGTCTTCCAACAATCCTTTAAGGATAAGTTACCGATCCAAGACCACACCATTGGTTACTGGCAGAAGCTAGAATTTGAACTCACATGTTTTGACCCCACTATCCATAGCCTTCAGCTTTACATATTTCATTTAACTTCAATAGGAAGAACACAAGGAAGAAAGTTGATAAAGAGTTAATACCATGACTTTATGTAAAAACACAGTATTTCTGTTTTATAAGTTTTTACTCCTTTAATCTTTAGACACGGTACAAGATGTGCAGGAGAAATTGCCATGCAAGCAAATAATCACAAGTGTGGGGTTGGAGTTGCATACAATTCCAAAGTTGGAGGTAAGGCAGTCTTTTACTGTAATTTGGCACTTGAATTGGAGGCTTGTGTTTCCTGCTATAAAATGGGGGGAGGGGACTGTCTCCAACCAAGGAGAAGATGAGTTTCTTACAAAATTTGCTGCACAACTTGAGTGTGACTTGCAAGTAAATCAGTGGGCCTAGATTCCTTGAAGATGGATGGCTGAATATAGCCTAGACATCCTTGCAGGAAGAATAATGGAATAGTGAATGGCACTTGAATGAAATCTAATATTCTCTGTGCTCTGCTTTAGAAGGGATAGCTCTTAAGCTCTTTCTAAGAAGGAATAGACAAATTTAGGCAGATTGTCCATGCTTTTCATTTTATGTATATTCTTTAAGCAAAGAATAATTTTTAAAAATAATTTTTAAAACATGTTCTTGTTATATGAAGTAGGCAATGCTACCTTAAATGCCAAAAGAGGAGAATCATTAGCTGCTTTGTTCAGTATAGGGTAGAGGACATTTTAATAAAAAAAGCCATTTATGTAAATTAGAAGTGACAAAGAGGGGATTAATTAGAATAAGCAGAGGTTACTAGGCTCAAAGTAGCAAAGAAAAAGAGAGGACAGTAGAAAGTAAAGAGAGGAATCCATAGCCATAGAGAATTCCTGGGCAGGAGCTCTGGCTTCACATGTGTAAAAGGAGCTGCTTCCAAATAGAATTGAGGCAAGTGGGGGTGGGAGGACGAACACCACTTCTCTCTATGACCACCCTCCTACCCAGGCGGCATTTAACAGACGTCACAGGGAAGGCAAGAGAGCCTACTGGCAGAATTCATGTTCCAGTGAAGACCAGGGAGAGCAGATCTGTTAGGATGTAGAAAGAAAACCAAAAACTGTCTCCTGCATTCCACTCCCTACCTTGGGCTTTCACAACTGTGTAGTAGCTGTTGAGCTTAATTTGATTTTAAAACAAGGAAAACATTTGTATAGCATGTCATTACAATAAAATCACATTAATCTCTACATGGTTACGGTTTAAATTCGGCTATGGGTTTCTTTTTAAAAACCAAATAAGTACACATTGTGACATAGATATATGTGCATTTTTCACCAATGGAGGACACTCAGATTTTCAAACATCACTTCTGATTTTTTCTTTGCTTGTTTGATACTTCAAAATGCTGTTCTAATTTAAAGAAATGAATGCAGGTACAGATGTAATCAACTAAACAGAAAAAAAAAAAGAATTCACTTTTTAAGTACCTGTAAACCAAACACCTATGGATTTTAAAATAATGATCTGATCTTCATGGTTTGGAGAAGAATTGAAATCAGGTTCTTAAGGTAACCAATAACAGGCTGTGGCAACATCAAACTAGAATATAAAACTTCTGATCCTAAACCAATTATGCTAACATGCTATTATGCTAATAATATGCTACTATGCTAATATGTCATTATGCTAAACCTATTTTGCTCCAGTCTTTGGTAGTCCAGTACCCATTTGAAGAGCAATTTAGTGTATTAGATATCCACTATACACCAATTAAATATTATATATATTTGTTTTGTACAGTACATTATAGTACATGTCTCTGCAGTAGGCAATGTAGTTTTGGGTACCTTATTTGTGGAGTTCAAATCCTGGCTTCCTGCTTTCAAGCTCTGTGGTCTTAAACAAGCTCTCAGATATCAGTCTGTCCACCTATAAAATATGAGAATTATAGCACCAATCTGAAATAGTAGTTATAAAAAGATGAGTTTTTGTGTGTAATATGTATGGAATAGTGACTACATATAATTAAAGTGTGCTGTTATCATCACCTCCATTTTATACTTAATGAAAATGAGGCTTGGAGGGGTGAAATAGTTTCTTCAGTGTCAATACAGTTATAAAAAATGAGAGCTGAAATGTTTTTCTTCCAAACACACTTCAAAGGATTTTGTTATTGTTGTTTTTGTTGTTTTCAAAAAGGGTCTGTAACCCAGGCTGTCTTTGAACTCACTGTGCAGCCATCATTCGATCTTGGATTCTAGATCCCCGCTTTCCTCATCATTCAGCTGCTGGGATTGTAGATACTACCTCATTTAGCAAAGCAATTCTCAAAAAACTACTTGACTTTCTTTGATCATGTAAATTATGTATTCATTCCCCTCTGCTTCCTGGTAAATAATAGTGTGAGAACATAAAGCTAGACAGTCCACTGAATTATTAACCCAACACCTAGAATAACCAGGTATTTGTCTGTGTTGTTCAAATTGCTCTTTCTTTCTGGGTTCTTAGACTCATGAGTCTGATGATGGGTGACAGGGTGTTGGAAGGCACAGAGAGCTCTCTCCTGATGAAAAACAATCTTATTCAGCAGGAAAGTCTGTCACAATGATTTCATCCTTGAGATTATTTAGAAGAAAAAAAAAAGCATGTTTCTTGAAAATATTTCTCAGCAAGTATGTAAAATAGCCTCTGGGTTACATTTAATCCAAGCTTAGAAGCAACAGTTCCTTCTCTTTATTGGTTTCCTATTGTAGATGGATCTTTCCTGATCAGGGATTCAGTTTCTAATCAGGGTTCTTCTATAACATGTTGGCCCACAGCCATCATGGCAGAGTCAGGAGCAAGTGTATATTGATAGGGGGGCTTTTGGGTTTTATTTTTCCTTCTAAGAGTTCTCTGTTATCTGTCACTTTGTTTGGATGCTAGAAAGGAGACACTTTTAATGTTACAGAACTACTGTAACATTATAATGTTATAATACAGCTACTAACATTATAATGTTACAGTCTATAATTACAATATTACAGAAGTTCTGGCATTTCCTCTGGTGGTATGATGCCACTTACTTTGGATCTCAATATTACTGGCAACAGCTTTTAAGCATCAACAACAGTAACAAATCACAGCTGCTTTACAGTATGTAATATTAGCTCTAAAGTTCAGGCAAGAAAATTTACAGAGAAAGGATTCTACCCTTAGGTGCCATTAGGAACAACCTCACAACAAGTGTTGAACATCTAGTGACTACTTTGTGTATTTTTGTTGTTCTTCTGTTTAGTTTTGTTTTGCTTTGTTTTGTTTTGTTTTGTTTTGTTTTGTTGTTTCAGAAAGTCCCTTAAGACTGTGATTGCTAAGAGAATTTTATTTTTCTCTGTGGACACACTGACATTCCTGTTACATTCTTGTTGTTTTGCTTCTTTCTTTTACTTAGGCATAAGAATGCTGGATGGCATTGTAACTGATGCCATTGAGGCTAGTTCAATTGGATTCAACCCTGGCCATGTGGATATTTACAGTGCAAGCTGGGGCCCTAATGATGATGGGAAAACTGTGGAGGGGCCTGGCAGACTAGCCCAGAAGGCGTTTGAATATGGTGTCAAACAGGTGAGATGCTTAACACAGACTCACATGAAACACTGAAGAGGGGAGAACACTTAGGTTATAGGGAAAGATATGATAAACTTTGTAGAAAAGACTTTCACAACTTTAAATGAACTTAAACAACTAAATCGTTCTTCAGAGAGATGGATGTTCAAAATTAAGAACATTTCCATATGTGGATCCAACACGGTGAAAAGATTCATTACTTTTAGAATATTTATATTTAATATATTTCTTGAGGCTAGGGAGACAAAATGTCCTGGTTGCTTATCATGAAAATTTGAGTTTGAGCCTCAGCATCTTAGTATAAAACCAGGAATGATGGTGCTTACATTTCCAGAGCTGAGGCAGTGGAAACAGGCAAAGATCCCTAAAGTTCTCTGGCTTGCCAGTCTCTAATGAGAGACTTTGTCTCAAATAAACAAGATGAATTTTTTTTAAAGACTAAGTGGATAGTGCCTCAGGAATGACAGTCAATGCTGACCTCAAGACTCCACACATATACATACACACCAGCACACATACACATGTACACACACATGCACACATGGAAACATGCAGATGCACCAGCATACACACACACACACACACAGCTTTTGGACATAGTTCTCATTTTTCTTCAGTTTTTTAGTAGGTAATCTATCACCTAGCATTCTTCCAATTGCTGTTCATTCTTGAATGTAGCAACACCCTGCAGTCTACATTACTCGAGTACCTGGATCTTTTTACCCCTCATATGTTGCTCTTTCCGCTGAGCTAACTACATTGCTGGACAGGTTCTAAGACCTTGAACTATGCAGGATAAGACAAAAGTAAGAAGCTTTGGAGAGCACCAATTGAAATATCACAGAAAGAGTGGCCTTGACAAGTTCCATTCAAACCAAGAGTCTTTTTTTAATGCAGCTGCAAGCCAGATCTGAATAATGCCTGATTTTGTCATTCTATCAGTCAGCCAGACATTTCAAGCAGAAACAGAGGACATTCAAAGATTCAAGTCTAGTGACATAATGAAGAGTGAAAAAATAATTCATATGCTAAAGGCTGGATTATGAATCTAGGAATAAAGAAGAGAGGAAAAGCCTAGCTCAACCCTACTGCAGTGAGGGCCCTGAAAACAGGAAGCAGGAAGGAATACATTCTGCTTATGGTCTGTGATATACAATCTGACAACCCCTGAAACCTTGAAATTAAAGACAGATTCCAAAGAATTGTCTCTGAGAATATTGTGCATATATTTTCTGACAGTTTTGGAGGGCCTGCCAGTAACTGCAATTGATAATGATAGTTATACATTCTCTTTTCTTTCAGGGGAGACAAGGGAAAGGCTCCATCTTTGTCTGGGCTTCAGGGAATGGGGGTCGTCAGGGAGATAATTGTGACTGTGATGGCTACACAGACAGCATTTATACCATCTCTATCAGCAGTGCCTCCCAGCAAGGCCTGTCACCCTGGTATGCAGAGAAGTGTTCCTCCACGCTGGCCACCTCCTACAGCAGTGGTGATTACGAAGACCAGCGAATAGTAGGTTACTTTTTTTCTGTGTCTCTCTGAGGTAGAGAAGAACAGAGCAAGGCATACTTTCAGAATGATCCTGTTCCCTGACCTTTGAAAGAATTGATTTATTTCAACTTGATATATCCAGTTGGGGAGGCTCTTGCTTACTATCTTGAAAAACTGGCATATATTGGAAAGTTTCTCTAAGGGATAACAGCACTTCTGCCAAGATGACCTTCCCTGTCATTTTTTAACTCAGCTCTGAGAAGCCACGAAACCTGTCATTACATTCAGCAAACACTCCAAATGTCTTTTCTGCTTGTCTGATACCTCCTTGGAAACAGCCTGGAAGACGATTTCAGGGTCATAGGGCTTCATTGCCCTGTGTTTACTGATCCTCTAATAACAGGGATGTAATCTGACTCAACCATTAGCAACTGGTAAAAGTATAGACTCTATACCAGTAATATCTCCTAAGAACAGATAACCTACATGAAAAGATAAGTCTCAATTTTGCCTGGAGTGAACTACTCAGCCTCTGGAGAAAGCAGCTCAAGGAGTTATAGCGTTAGATCTCCAGCCCACACCTGCCTGTGCCTTAACTTCCATGAGTCATGAACAATTATTGGATTTCCCTTCAAGGGCATAATGAAGAACTGTTTGGAGGCTTTGAGAATAGAGAAGAGTACTTTTGAATTTTAAAACCTCAAATTTAACTAGGTTTATTTTATGTAGATCTTAATCTCAATAAAATAGAAGACTATGACTGAGTTAATAATTACCAGCCTTTGGGGGCTGCCAGTAACCCCATAGATTATGGTAGGATGTTATACATTTTGTTCTTTGTGGGAAAGAAAGGGCTTCATCATTGTCTGGTCTTCTGAGAATGGCGGTTCTGGAATATATGCATAATTCTAACTAACAACCCTAAAAACTAGGCAGCACCAATGTGTGGCTTGCACAGTATCAGCTCCTTCTGTACCTACATTAGGTATCAGAGCTCTGTAGTATCCACTGGAAGGTGCCAGCCTTCCTCTCATGTCGTATGTTCAATTACTTGAATAACACACAGACTGTGACACTCTAGTCAAGGATTCTTTCTAGTAGGCAAACTTTATAGCTTTAGAAAGGGACATAGCAGACACTTGTACATTGGTGTCAGAGCCCCTGGCTGTTTCTATTCCTGTGGCATCCAGAGCTGACTTCAGAAAATGGCCTGTTAATCATTTTAATATTATTACTGCATAGACTTCCCCCTCATCTGGAACCTCTTGCATTAAATTGGGGAGGAGATTTTTCACCTTTGTAGAAATTCATCCTTAGGTAAAGCAGTCCTGGCAGAGACAGCTGATGGAGTCTATTTGAGACAGTTGCAATAACATGCTTTTCTTACGTAAACGTTTTCCTCAGCATAGTCATCGCTAGGGATTTATTTATGTCGACAGGTATAAAGGGCAGCTTGGCTTGCACAGCGCCCTGAGAAACAAAGCCACCATACCTTGAGAAATCCAAGGACACTAAGTGGGAAACCAAAGGTGGTGATAATAGAACAAATTATTTTTTTACACCTCCCTCCTACACACTGAAACCTCTAGCTAAAACTGAAGTACTGAAGCCTGGATAGGTGTCTGGTTAGGAATCTTTGGCCCTGCTGTTTATTCAGCCAGCAAATTGACTAGAAGTCTTGGTGGTATTTCTGCGTATTTGTTATCTGTACATGGTATATCTCCATAGCCTCTTTATTATCCTAAAGCTAGTCTACACAGTTCCTTGCATGCAATAACACTATTCAGAAATGTTTTCACAAGGCATGCTCTCACTTATGTCTAGAATGAATCAGGAAATATAAATCCCACTCTGCTAATGTGAAGACCATCTAATGTGACTGTGGGTCACATCTAATACACAGTAGTTTTATAATCTGAACAGAGAACTAAATGTGGGTTAATTTTTTAACCTGACCAATCTTATCTAAGGACAAAAGACACAAACTTGTAGCTTTCCAATTAAGTTAATTCAAAATCTATTCTAAGTAAGTTTTGTTCAAATGTCACTAATCAAGATGTCATTATATTTTTCTATTACAGAGGCAGACAGATGTCAATCTGAAGGCCAAAGGGAATGCAGTTTGAGTTAGAATTTCTAAATATGCTCAACCATGCACAATGAACCTGATGATTAATGGGCTGGTATGATTCACAGTGACTTAGAAACAGATCCTTTTTTTATAGATACATTTTGTTTGGGAATCTCAGAAGAGAAAATATTCATAGTGGGAGTACTTCATCCCCAGAAAAGGCAACTTGATTCCAGAATTATAGACAAGTTGCACATAGAGGAGAGCAGACTAAAATATCAGCAGATGGCAAATATCTGCTTGTTGGTACTTGAGAAAAAGCAGCAGAAAATTGAATCTTGTGCTTCCTGGTCGTAGCAGATGCAGACTTCAGTCTGGCTACCCCTACCATGCTTTTCATGTCTCTACTTTTCTCTCCTTCCAGACAAGTGCCGACCTGCACAATGACTGCACAGAGACCCACACAGGTACCTCAGCTTCTGCACCCCTGGCTGCTGGCATCTTCGCTCTGGCCTTGGAAGCAAAGTAAGGCCCCAAAATCTCGTCAGATTGAGACAGCTTCTGATGTTGTTGGCTGAACATGTAATTATAGGAGAATTTTGAACAACTTCAAAAATAACAACAAAAATAACAAAATCCAGATAAATTCTGCCACTCTGAAATTATTATTATTGATGCCTCAATGTAGATTTAAGAAACATACATCTCATTGCACATTATTTTTTATTGGATATTTTCTTTATTTACATTTCAAATGTTATCCCCTTTCCCTGTTTCCCACACACACACTATTTTCTAATATATTTTATAATACTGTTTAATATATTAGTTTATAATATATTAGAAATATTGTCTCACATCTCAGTCAATATTCCTTGGCTTTCTAAATTCATATTCTTCCCTAGTCGTCTTCCTGGGCACCAAACCAGCCCCATCAGCCAGAATTCTCTCTAAATCATTTCCTTGGAGTGATACTGAGAACAAATGTGCTTTCTTCAGAAAATAAAACTTCATTCTGGAACTAATATAACTAGATAAGACATGATAATCGAAAATAGGACTTTTATCTTTTCATACAATTTTAAATTACAAATACAAATTTTGAAAAAGTCATCCAATCATGTCATTTATAAATATTGACATCTCTTATGTGTTCCTCAGGATGAACACCCAGATTTTGAGGGTTCTGAGCCAAAGAGATAGTGTGTTTTAATGATTCTGATGCATATGGATAAATTGTTTTCTTGAAGGCCACATCATATTATGTTCTCCTCAGGAGGATATGTGTGAAAGCTCCAGTTTCTAAAATAAGTATTGACACTGTTTACCTTTATATGTTTGCTGTGTGTAGGAAATGGCATCTCATTAATACTGTGGCTCATTACAGATGAGGCTCAGAATTTATGTCCTTTGGCAAGTTGCCCTCTGATACAGCTTCCTTATGGCCCTGTTTTTGTTTTATAATCTTGGCTTCAAAGATCCTTATCAGTTTGACATTTACATTCAGTTTTACTCACAGGTAACTTTAGTGTAATGAAGCTAATAAGTATACAGCAGTGTTTGCCACTCTATTTCTCTATAGCCTCTTTCTTTAACGTGCTCCCAAACCAGAATTAGATTAAAATTTGTGGAGTTATTTGTTTTGCTTTGTGTTTTGTTGTTTTGTTTTTTGCTTGTTTATTTTTTCTGTAGCTCCTTTACTATGCTTATGTTCTAAGTATCTCTGGCCTTTATTGTAGTATATGATGGTAAAAAGTGGATTTAGCAACATTTTTACATCATAACTATTGTTCAACATTCTAACACTTAACACAGAAGGAAAAAAAAAGCCCATGTACTCCACACCTGCTTCCACAGCTCACTTTTCTTTAGTCCTGTCTTTTGATGTTTGGTGACAAAAGGCTAACACAGCTAGAAGACAGCATAAGGCATTCCACATATACGGTAGACTGGACTCACTGAAACAGAACAGAAAACAGAAAACAAACAGAAAACAGAAAACAGAGCAGAACAGAACATGTTGTCCTTTGTGACACATGGAAAAGTTCTGAGAGGCTGGACCTTTGTCTCACAAAGCTCTAAGATTCCCAGGGTACTCTGAAGAGATGGAAGTAGAATTTCTGAGTATCAGTAATGATACCCAGCATAGCCCCTGTCCAAGCTCTCACCTAGTGTCTACCTATTGAGAAGAACTAGAAAGATGTTTGAGTAAGTTGGTCTTTTTCCTCCCTCTTTATACCTGTCAGAAGCGTATAAGCATAGGCCAAGCCCATTTTAGTTTGGTGACCAGATACATCAAAGGTATTCACTAAGATGAGTACTTGTAATGTTAATGTTATCTAAGAACTGAAATTTTAATTTTTATTTATATGTATTCATGTGTACCTTTTTTATGTTCACTACATGCCTGCAATGGCTCCGAGGGCCAAAAGAGGGCATCAAATCCCCTGGAACTGGAGTTTTAGGCAATTATGAGCTTCCTGATCAGGGTGCTGGCAATCAAATGCACATATTCTTCCTGAGCAACAAGCGTCTAAACCAATAGAGCCATCTCTCCAACCGCAGAACTGACATAAAGTCTGAACCTTTGTACCTTCATGGGAGGGATATTTTCTAAGAATGACATAGCCTAATTAATCTTATTTGTCTTCATGGGCTTTATCTAAAGAAAGAGCACTATTGCTATGGAATACATGCCTAATTTCCAAGTAGTCTGTGAATTTTTTTGCTCCTAAATGCATACTTGCTTAAGGGAGTACTTACGAAATATTTCTAGGGACTGGCTTGTGGGTTCTAGAAGACCCTCATGATTTAAAACATTGATAGTTTGTTGTTGCATGCAGTTTTATGCTACTTGCCTTAGCTCTGGGAAGTGGCCATGCTAACAGAGCCCTTCCAGTTTTCCTTGAATCCATGGATAAAGGCAGACACACAGTTGTTTGTTTTCATCTTGCCTTCTTGGCACAATTGCTTGGTGCTACTATCTTCCACTTGGAAAACATGTCCTTATCATTACTCTTAGCTTCAATCTTCCCTCCTGCCCTAACTTTAGTCAAATAGTTGAACCTAGTCTTGCTAAGCATCTCTGACCACCTGCCTATAGGAGCAGCCATAGCTCACTGCTCCTCCTGAGACCTCACATAGTGGTCTGGTTCTCCTCTCTCCAAGACATTGTGAACTCTACTCTCTTCTTCCTTGAGTCCTCCCTTTCTTCCAGAGACTAAGAAGTTCCACCTGTACCTTTTGTCCAGCAATTGGCCCATGGCTTTCTTTACTAGACATATCAAGAACCAATTGGGGAATAGGACCTCAACATCAGAACTACCCTTATAGTTTGTGAACCTTCGGGTGTAAAGAATTTAATCTCCACAAATTTGATTCTAATTTTCAGTACAATGAACTTGATCTGCCTAAGATTTATATCCACCCCGAAAAAGTATATATGTATTATTGAGATGTTTGTTCTCAATTGGGTGGCTTCTGCACCCTATTCAAAATGGTCTATACCAAGATTATATATATCAGGACATTTGAACGCTAGAATTTCTAAATAGGAGCCCAAGCCACACTGCAGACTGAATCATTCACTCCTCTCCACCTAAGGAACAATTACAGAGACTGAAAGACTTTTGACTAAACTTGTCAAGAATGACATTCAATGCTTATCAGGCTTTACTGTGGGCTAGACAGTGTGCTAAATGTTCACATATAACATTAGTTCTAATCCTTATGACAGATTTATTATACTGAAGTAGTAGTTACATTGCATTTTATAAATAAACAAACTAGGGGTAGAGGGGTCAAAAAGTATGACCAGTATCTCACAAAAAAAAAAAAAAAATTCAGGTCTCTATGCCCTGAAATGGTGCTACTCTGTGCAGCCTTCACAGCTGATAGGGAGAAAGGTGTTGACAAAAGCCAATCAATCATCCTACCAAACAAAGAAGGCCAGATACTGGGGCTGATATAAAGAACATATAAGGCTGAACTTACATATTCTTTACTTTGCTTCTAAGAGAGGGAGGTAGGAAACTGAATGAACAAAGAGAAGGAGAATGAGTAGTTTCTGGCTGAAACATCTACAAAGTAACACTTTCCTTCCTTAGCCAGTTACTCTTGAATACAGTAAAGCTCCAGGGTAGGTGATTTTCCATGTACATTCCCAAACCCCATTGCTAAAGATTCAGATTCTGAAGTATCTGCCCTAAAAGCCAGGTTTTAAGCAGGCAGCCAATGCTAGGAGTACTTTAATAAATTACCCTTAAAAACCATTTCCTAAGACTTCATCCAGCTGTGATTATGAGACTGTCCAATGGGGTACCAAATAAGCAAAACCTGGAGAAAGAAATTGTCTGCATAAATACCAGTGGCACCATAATTAGTGCACATTAAGTATACTTAAGGAAGCTTGCAGATGATCACCTCTCTCTTCAGAGGCAAGATCAGAAGATCTTGGGGTAGTTTGTAATAAGGAAAAAATTTTCAAGTGAACCATTGGATACAATCACACCTTTGCAAATATTCAACAAATAGATGAACCTTAAGCTATCTAATAAATAATAATAAAGTCCAAATAAACTATCAGTGTTGTACAAAGTCCTCTGAGGAACAACCCCTTACCGAATTCTTACAAAAATTCTGTTTTGGAAAGTTCAAGTCAGAAACTGTTCAACATCTAAATTCAAATAGATATAGTTAGAGACTAAACCACTTAGACTTCAAGATTTTTCACTATATAATTTTGTACCCAGACTTTTTTATCTGCATCTTTTCTAGTTAAAGAATGTTTATCTTCAATGTTAAGTTCTGTAGCTATTATTTTCAACAACATATTTCTGGTTAGAAACACAATGAAGTCTTGATATTTTAAATTAGTACAGATGCTGCTGTGTACTGTAAAGGAAGACTCTCCAGAATTAGTTCTATTGTTAGCAGCTCCTTTTCATTTATAACATGTAAGTACTCAGCTGAGGAATAATTGTTAAGAAATAAGACTTAATTTTTTAATTGCTTAACATGAATTTCCTTAAATATTTCTTAAACATTATATATAAATTTGAAAACAGAAAAAGCACTACAATTATATGTAAAACAAATGCTCTATCATAGGAATGTAAACAATGTATCCTTTGAATGTGATCACCAAACCATCCTTCCTTATATCCCTTACTCTCTGTTTTCTTCTCCCTTTACACATACCTGCAAACACTGATCAAACCAAACAAGAAATTTGTCCACTGACCATAGGCCACCTTGATAGGTGGCTTTTACTTTAAGATACTTTATTTTAAAGACCAGGATGAAGCAGGTACTTTAATAATATGCTTTAAGAACAGAAGAAGTTTGTATCTTGAGAATATAACCATTTCTGCCCAACTGGCTAATGATCCCTGAATATGTGATGGTCACAAAAACAAACAAGACAATAAGTACAAAGAGGTATTTCTAATGTTAAACTGACAAAAGATCTGAGTAGTAAAGTATTCTGGAAATTGTCACGTTCAACCTTCTCTCATATGACAGATGAGACAACTCAGGCCCCAGAGAAAGAAAGTAGTCATACGGAGGTCAAACCATTTATTGGAGCATAATACTATATAATGTGTTTTCTATTGCTCCCTCTTTGATGCCATGATTCAAAATGTCTTGTAATTGGCTTAACTGCTCTTATGCTTATAATCTTCCTACCAATTCCTATTATTTTTGGTACAATAGAAACTGGATAGATAGAGTTTTAAAAACATAAATAATCTTGCCCTATTTCTATTGGCAGAGTTGGATATTAGTCAGAGATCATTATTTATAAATGTAGTGAGTGATTATGATGCATGTAGCCTGAGATCCACTGGGAGTCACTAGACTAGACTCCTTTTCAAGCCTTTGTCAGTCATGCTGATGTTTAACAGTATACCTGGCAAGAACTCAGGCCAGCATAGTGAGAGTAAGTGAAATTTTCAGGTGTTGTTGGAGTAATGCATTACATAAACATGTCAAAATGAAAACATTTAGCCTTTAATGGTTTTAATGTTTGTTTGTTCTTTTAATTCCTGCAGTCATGGACCAGCATGGGAATGGGCTTGTATCATTTCTGGGAGAGCCCAAACAATAGGTCCTAGCAGTTTTATGAACCTTGGAGTTACATGTGTACTGGGAGCTTGAAAATGAATAAAATTAGGAAAGTGCTTTCAGGCTTTCTACCTGCTTATTCCACAGGAAATCTTGACAGAAGTACCTGAAGAAGACTTCTGAACAAGGTCTCCAACAGAGAAACTTGGGAGTAAAGGCACTCATTTTCAGGGGCTAAGAATGTACATATGGAAAGTGTAGGAGGGGACGGGGGCTGAAGACTTGACTGCAGCTCCCTTCACAGGCAATAGCACAATGGCTCTGTACCAGAGCTGGTTCAAACATAGGACTCTCTAGAAGTATCATCAATGGAAGTTTTTGTGGAAATGCCTAAAGAGTGACATACAGGTCTTTAACAAGTGCCCAGGGAATGGATTAACCAATACATTATTGGCTCTAGGAAGAAGGTACCAAATTGAGCTAGATTTCCATGATTCTGCAGCCAAATGGCAAGGAAGAAGTTTTGAAAAATATGCATTGTTTATTAAATAATGCTTGATTTGACTAGAGGAAAATAATGCAGTCTATAAAAAAGTAATAAAAAGCTTAAGGTGTTTTTGTTTGTTATTAATTTAATGATTTGTTTATACAAATTAGTAGATAACAAATTTACTTAATCTGCTATTAATCTAATGACTAATAACAGTAAACTTCAAAATTACATCAGAATATTTAACTTAGGCACCTTTGATCATTCATCAGCATTATTTCCATGTACTCTTCCTAAATATAACTTGTTCAGTCTGTATAATGTCATTGGACATATGTTTTAAGGCTGATGATTTACTATTACATAATTAATTGGTGTACTCTTCCCTGGGGAGCACTATTTCTCCCACTCTCAATATTCATTAGTTGCCTGCATTCTTCATATAGGACTAAAGCCTAATGAACTTTCTTTAGACCACTTTGACATGTCTATTGACCTTTTCCAGATCATGTTTAGGTAGTCATGTTGGTGAGACTTTATGGGTGTAGCTTAGACAATATTATATTCATTTAGAAAGCATTTGTGTGTGTGCACATGTATGTGCCACAGACGATACACATGTAGATGTTAAAGAATACCTTGTAAGAGTCAGTTCTCTCCTTCTACCAAACAGATGCTGTGGATAGCAGTTAGATCATCAGGTTTGATGTAAGGTGACCTTACTTGCTGGATACTTATCTATACTTTTGTATAATCTTGTGCTAGGCATACTTTTGTATGTTTGCTAAGCATCAGGGAATGAGATAAGTTTTCACTCCTTGTAGCTAAATTCTATCTTGAGAATCAGACAAGTAACACACACACACACGCACACACACACATGTTGTTTGTTATTTAATAAGGTGAAGAAAAGAGAATCATCAAAGCAAGATGTGAGTTCATAAGCATGTTGGTGAAAACTGGTCCAGACCATTTTCTGGATCAAAAATCCAGAACAATTTTCAAGGCCCAAACAGTACAGTTCAAACTCACTTTGTGACATTCAGCATCTTCAGACTTCTGGTTCAGTTCTCTGCAATGTCTCTTTCTGCCCTAGCATATACATTATAAACTAGCCCCAGCTGGTCTTCCACACCATGCTTCTGTTGCTCTGGTTGCTATGTGCTCCCTTTTAGAAGTTCTACTAACCCTTCAAAATTCACCTCATATACATCTTTCCAGTAAAGACTTTCAGACTTTCTTAAGTTATAAATGCAACATTCAGCATACATAGTTATATAGAACTGCACTGTCAGTTTCTTAAGAACCAGAAACACCTCCTTGAATATTCTAATAATATTTAACATAGTGTTCTTCAAGAGCAATCCCATGAAACCAAGAATTTCTTGAGAGTTTTGGTCTATTATCATTCCTCAATATCTGCCAATGATCAGGTCCAGAACCAGGATGCTCAGGTCTCTTATATGAAATGGTATAGTAATTTACAAATTTCTTAAAATGCCTAATGCAATGTAAATTCCATTGCACTGCACTGTTTAAGGAATGATAACAAGAAAAAGTATATACATACCAGTACAAATGCAAATTTTTCTTTTCAAGTATTTTTGATCTATGTTTGGTTAAATCCTAAGTATGTGGAACCTATGGCTATAAAGTTCGGACTACATTTTTTTTAAAAAGGTAAGATGTGTTGAGTAGGTTGCAAACTCTGTCTTTTACATCTGATACTTCCTATGATAAAAACAAGCTTCAATGAAGCTTCATAATGTTAAAATGTGGTAAAGTGTTCTACGAACAGAAGTAGAGACACAAAGGAAGTGTTATGTTTAAAAAACTGGCTTTAGATAAATATAAATAATTAGAGTCGGGGACAAAATTTCACACTTCAACAATTCTGAGGCTGGATTTTACTGATAGTAAAAGTTTAACTTATGTGCTATAGGTGAGAAATTTTAATAATATATTGTGAGTTCTAAATAAAAGAATATTACGTAATAGAGTATATATTTTAAAAAATGCACATAATAATCCCTAAAAAGGAGATGCTTATTTTTAGCACTTGATTTTTCAAGAATATTTCATTTTGTTTCTAAAAGATACGTTCGGTCACTTTCCCTCTAGCCCAGATCTTACCTGGCGAGATATGCAGCATCTAGTTGTCTGGACCTCTGAGTATGATCCATTGGCCAATAACCCAGGTTGGAAAAAGAATGGGGCAGGCTTGATGGTGAACAGCCGATTTGGATTTGGCTTGTTAAATGCCAAAGCTCTGGTGGATTTGGCTGATCCTAGGTCCTGGAGGAATGTGCCTGAGAAGAAAGAATGTGTTGTAAAAGACAGTAACTTTGAGCCTAGGTAAGTATCTCCCAGAATTTTAAACCACGTTATGCCCAAAACACTACTAGATTAAGGTGTTGTCACCCAAGTTTTTCTCAATACTTGTTCTTCTGAAATAGATGGGGACAGAGTTTGACAGGATCAATTTAGGATGAATTTTCTCCTAAGTAGGGCTCTTTATGAATTACCTCTGGCTCATCATAGATGGTCTTGGAAGTAGAATCTGCTATGACTATTATATAGTTTTTATCAAGGCAACCATAATGATGATAAAAACCCACTACCACAAAACCCCAGAGCCTGGAAAGCCTAGGAATATGCCTCAGAAAGACCTTATACACAAAATTAATTTTTTCATGAGAATCTTATTGATATTTCTGTCATTGACCACTTTTGTTTAATTGAAGACAAAGCTGTCTGAATTTGATTTTATAGACAATAGCATCATACTTATATATTTGTGGTTTTTATCAATTTCTCATACATTATATTCATCTATAGATAATTATGAATTAAACTCTACTGATAATCTTTTCGAATTATCTGGCCAAGATATCCATATTCAACTGGCACAAACAAACCAATGGATGGCAGGAGAGATAACTTTTCTTTAATTCTGCTTCTTTAATGTATGTAGAGCCCTGAAAGCTAATGGAGAAGTGATTGTTGAAATCCCAACAAGAGCTTGTGAAGGACAAGAAAATGCTATCAAGTCCCTGGAACATGTACAATTTGAAGCAACAATCGAATATTCTCGTAGAGGAGACCTTCATGTCACACTCACTTCTGCTGCTGGTAAACTTCAGCAACCACTCAATGATCATAGAACCTAGTATCCTCAAAGGCATTATCATATATTAAAGCAAAATATTTTTGTTGATGGTAGATTTCTTCTTCCTGTTCATTCCCACTAGTTTCTGGATAGACAAAGGGATCTTTGCTTAAATGATGTTAATTAATAAGATTTTCTAAAATCACCTATTTTCAACCTTGTTCATTTCCCAAGATAAAAGACTTCTCTTAGGTGACAGAAAAAAAATTGAGTAATTCTCAAAACTTATAGATATGTCTGGAACACTGACGAAATCAATAGAAAAGTTAGCAATTGTGATTCATAAAGTTGAGAATAGTGATTAAATCTTCACAGCCATATGAATATGTGATAATATAAATTTTGCCATTTTGCTGAGAGAGTTCTAGTTAAGATGAGTTAAGGACTTTTGAGCCATAAACTACAACCCAACCAGAAATTGCCCTAACATATGTAAGTATGTTAATGGGTTGGTAAGATAAAAACAGATAAAGGCACCTGCTGCTAAGCTTAATGGCATGAGTTCCTTCTCAAGGACCAAGTGATAGAAGCAAATAACTGACACCCACAAGTTATCCTCTGAACTCCACATATGTGCCATGGGACACACATGTGCATGCACATTAGTGTGTGAGTACATGCAAATGAATAAATAAAAATATAGTAAAAAAAAACTTACTACAAAATCATGTAGTGTTTCAGTGGAGTAATTTCAGTTTCTATACATAATAGATAAGAAAAGATGAGCTGTCTAACTCTATTATCTCTTTCTAGCAAATGAAATCTTGAAGTTTTAGAGTAGGCTCTATTGATTACAGACTTATACTTTCTAGATGCCCTGGAGATTTTATGAAATACTACTGAAATTTCTACCCCCTTCCATTGATAGACTTAATCTCAACTTTCATTCACAGATATTAGATGCTAGAGTGAATCCAATGACCAGACTGTCATGTTAAGATATCACTAATTTATATTTGTTGTATGAAAATAGGAACCAGCACCATACTATTGGCTGAAAGGGAAAAGGATACATCCCCCAATGGTTTTAAGAATTGGGACTTCATGTCTGTTCATACATGGGGAGAGAATCCTGTAGGCACCTGGACACTGAAAATTACAGACATGGTAAGCATGAATAAAAAGACAAAAACAAAACAAAGATCACTTTTCAAACACTTGCAAGTACTTTAAATTGCGTCATTTCCCTAATTTCTTTCTCAACCTGCTTATCCTTTAAGTACAGGAAGGCTACTAATTTATTTGAGTTAATTTTATATCCAGCCACTTTGCTGAAGTTGTTTATCAGACTTAGGAGTTCTCTGATGGTAGTTTTGGGGTCATTTAAGTATACTATCATATCATCTGCAAAGAGTGATATTTGGACTTCTTGCTTTCCAATTTGTATCCCTTTGACCTCCTTGTGTTGTGTAATTGCCCTCGCTAGGACTTCCAGTACTATACTGAATAGGTAGGGAGAGAGTGGGCAGCCTTGTCTCGTTTCTGATTTTAGTGGGAGTGCTTCAAGTGTCTCTCTATTTAGTTTGATGTTGGCTATTGGTTTGCTGTAAATTGCTTTTACTATGTTTAGGTATGGGCCTTGAATTTCTGATCTTTCCAATACTTTTAGCATGAGGGGTGCTGAATTTGGTCAAATCCTTTCATAGCATCTAATGAGATGATCATGTGGTTTTTTTCTTTGAGTTTGTTTATATGGTGGATTATGTTGATGGATTTACACATACTGAACCATCCCTACATCCTATATGGCCTGTCATCCTTGGAATTATACATATTACAGACAGGAAGATGTGAGGCTAGCTTTGCTATCATACTTTGCTAGAGTCACAAGAAAGCATCCTCTGCTCTTTTTTTTATAATTTATTTTTGTTTTAAATCGTAATTTTTACTCATTAACACAAGGGTTATAAACACAAAAAGGCAGGACGTGGGGAAGGGGATGACACTGGAGTGTGGGTGTTCAGGGGGAATATAGATATCTTTCAGAACAAGGGATTGGCTGGGTGAAGGTTCAGGGGACAGGTCACTATGACTCTACCTATGATTCACTTGTCCTTATCTAAGTTGGTATTACCTGCCAATGCTACTTATTTACAAGGTCTATGACTACTCAGGCTGGTAAATTTCCACAAATGCTGCCTGTTTACAATAGCTTATAGACATCTGTTTCAATGTTTTTCCACAGAGACCCAAGACTTGGTGTTAGTATACATGTATGACAAGCCTATTGCTGATTTTAGGCCTATGGCTGATTTTAGTTCTTCAGTGTGTAAGCAGGGCTGCCCCTGACATCTCCTCCCTTCTCTAAGTATAGAAGGGCTGTGGTGATTCTAATCTTTCGAAGGCGGGGATAGAGGCCTGACCTCCAGTAATTGAAGGGGACCTTGTAACGGCTCTGGCACCCCTGTCGTTGTCCAGTGAGGCATGAGGGCCATACCCATCCCTATGTCTTTTTCCTGGAGAGGGGATACTTTTGACATCAACCCCTCCCTATGCAGTCAGGCTTGTCCCTCAGGGAACCCAGAGAGATATTTTTAACTTTTATTTATATTCCCTTGCTGTGTTTAGCCTCGCAGCCTAAGCAAGAATTCAGATCGCCAGTCAGAGGGGGTTCTGGGTGGCCTCTCTCTGCATGGTCTAGGGGCAGAAGTCTCCTCTTTTAGGTTGGGTGGAGAAGGGCTTTGGGAACACCCTGGATAGAGTAACAACCTCATCTTGAGTCTCGTGGTCCTCCATAGATACATATGATAATGTATCTGAATAGGTTTTGTCACCAAATTGTTTATCTGTTGTTTCACAGAGTTAGTTAGCCTATATGAGGCCCAGGGACCAGAAGAAACAAGCACAAATTGATTTACTTTATTACAATACAAAAGTCTGTGTACAGCTCTTTACTGTGTGCAGCCCTTAAAGAAGAATGTTGCCTTTTCCTAGACAAGACAGGGATGGTTAAAGAGAGCATGAAAAAGGTCAGAGAAGGCCCTAAGAAAAGTCAGAGATAGAAAGATAAAGATGAGTGCAGGTACAAGAATTTGTTTTCAGCCTCTCCATGGTTGTCAACCCTACTTCCTCCCATCTTGGGACCATTAATTGGGTTATTTGTACTTATTCCTCTGCTTTTTTCATTGAGTAGTATAATAGCTTCTTGTTTCAGGTTAGGCAAGACATCTTCTTTAAAACCTTTTTTTCTAATTTTAATCTCTCTTTCTCTCTCACACACACATACACAAAACAAACAACAATAACAACAGCAACAACAAAACCACACTACATTTTTTAAAAATTTCTAGAGCTCAATGATACTCAAAAATATTAGAATTGTAAAGTATCCTAGACTTTGGAAAATAGAGACACTCATCTGGTAAAGGCAGTATAAACACTCTAAGACTGGAAAGGTTTGAAATTCTTCTGATTCCTAGCATTTTAGACACTGGATCTGTTCTAATATTTTCTGGTATGCTTTAAAGGACAATGCCACAAGGATGAAGTGGCAGAACTGTGTCTGACATGAAGCCAAGTAGTTCAACTCTTTGTGCACCATCCCCATGCTTCTCTGATGTTGGGATGTAAATGGGTAGTGTTCCATCTCTGAGTTCTGAGAGAAAAGTGTAAGGATCATCAGTGCAGGATCTGACTGCCTAGATAATTTTGTTGTTGTTGTTGTTTTTCTAGACATAGTTTCTTTGTATAGCCTTGCCTGTCCTGGAACTCACTTTGTAGACCAGACTAGACTCAAACTCAAGAGATCTGTCTGCCTCTGCCTCCAGATTGCTGGAATTAAAGGCATGCACCACTACTACCTAGCTGCCTAGATAATTTCTTAAAAATAAATCAGTTTAAATTTCCAAAGATACCAATTAATACAAATTACATATTTTCTACCTTTTCTCAGAGAATAAGTTTCCCTACAGATCATTGAAATAGGACTGGCAAGATGACTTAATGGGCAAGGACAATTGCTTTCAAGCTGATTCTGACTTGACTTTGATCCTTAGACACCATATGGTCAATGGAGAGAACCAACTCACTCAAGTTCTGTCTGATCTTCAGACTTATGTGTTTCACAATGTATACGCTAACATATACACTTGAATCTAATTTTTAATTATAACTTATAAAATGAAGACTGAAGCAATTCTTGTTATAAGAAAAAAGCAGTATTATTACTTAATTAGTGGTATTCTTGAACTTTCCTTAGTTCTTAAAAAAATCAATATTGCATGTGGGTGGGTGTTGTACCCATATGTATGTATGTATATATATACCAAATTTGTGCTGGTACCCAAGGAGTTCAGAAAAAGACATTGGATCCTCTGGAAGTGAAGTTACAGAGGGTTTTGACTGCTGGGAATTGAACCTGGGTCCTCTGAAAGAGCAGCCATCAATCTTAACCACTGAGCCACCTTTCCAGCAGCCCCTCTTTAATTTTTTAGCTCAATTTCAGCTGCAAGAGTCTAAATAATTCTACTTGCCAAGACAAAGCCACTTCATATCAAATCTACACATTTGACTCCATCTTTTAGACCTTTGACTTATAGATGTTTAAGGAACAATCACCTATTCAAGAACAGAATCAATGTGACAAAATAAATTTACACAGAGATCTCAGCTTCTATAGTTTTAAAAAAAACTATATACTTGGTTGTAAGGCAATAAATCAGTTTTTTAAACTGTTTGGCTTATATAGTATTGAGTTTTATCAAAAGAGTAGATCTATCCAGCCTTTTCTTTTAAAATAAGTCTTTGAAAATAGAATACACAATATCTTAAAATTAAATTATGACTATGAGATTCTGTTGGCAATTTGAATAAATTTTTTATAGTTGAAACACAAACCAAAATAAATACATTTACGCTTGTTTTAACCAGTCTGGAAGAATGCAAAATGAAGGAAGGATTGTGAACTGGAAGTTGATTTTGCATGGGACATCTTCTCATCCAGAGCACATGAAACAGCCTCGTGTGTACACATCCTACAATACTGTCCAGAATGACAGGAGAGGAGTGGAAAAGATGGTAAATGTTGTGGAGGTCTGTATACCATGTTCTCTTTTAGACACTAGTGGGCAATAAGTGAGGAGAGATGCATATTATTTTTAGTAAGGGAAGAATTCACATATGCATAGAGAGAAAGGGCTTAGAAGAGAAAAACTGTTGGTTTCCAATTGGATGAGCCATTGCTTTTTTTTTTGTACTTAAATCTTGAGTTTATTAATAAAAGTTGATAAATTCCCTAACTTGAATAATATCTTTGTATGAAAGTATATTGCAAATCAAGCTGTCTTTTATACCTATTATAATATATTGTGTGTGATTATAATGCAGTGCATATTAAGAATGTTCAATCTTATCTCATTTTGATTGTAATCATTGTAACTTAGATAGTAGGGCCATATAAAGTAAGAAAATCAATGTTAGACAGTCACATCATGTAAGCTTATTACTAATTACTAATTTCTGCTTAGTAATTGGTACTTAGCTGACATGCTTTCTCATTATTAAGCAGAGCTATGAAATCATAATTTCTCTTGGAAAATTTCAGAGGGTAGCCAGTTGTGATCCTGGGTCCAGGAACTACTGACACTGTCCTTCTCAGAAGCCATAAAGAAATGGCATCTGTTTCCCCAAACACATGCATGTTACACAGTGCCTCTGTTGTAGGAAGGATTTTAGGATCTCTGGAATGATCTGTCCTAAAAGGGAGATCTCTGAACTAGGAGGTTTCAAGACATGACATTTACATGAGGAATTTATAAACTAGGTTTGAGAAAGCTTCAGCTAGGTCCTGTTCGTATTATATTAGCCAAAATCCAGGTACAGTTTCTCTACATCAACTGAGGAAAATCCACATCGTGAGTGTTTCTCCAAGCTTTTCTAAGTATTAGCAGGATTTTCACTTGTTAAAGTATTGAAATATGATCATCTCTTCATATGGTGGGCTCTAAATCCTTGTAGTCCACCAAGTTGAGTATGGATCAAAAGTATTTGAAACAACTGCCTCTGCACTGAACATGTACAGACTTACTTCCCTAAATCTAGGATGTATTTTCTGTAATTAATATATAAATATATCATTTCCCTTAAAAGTGCAGTATTTATATTGTGTTAAGCATTAACAGATGTCTTAGAGATGATACTGTATACCGGAGGATGTGTATAGGCCATTTACCTTTCAAGGGCTTGAGCATCCATAGATTTTTGTATCACAGAAAGTCCTAGAGAGCAACAGTATTTCCATAATACTTGACAAATAGCTATTTCTCAGATTTCCTAGTTCCTGCCCCATGACCTCTCTCCCCCAGGAGCTTCTCAGAATTCAGTAGATTCTAACAAGAGCAAGGGCAAGAGTTCTGTAGTCAGCTGCTTTTGTACATAACTACCAACTGGTACCTTACAAGCGAATGGTTAAATATTTAATATCATTTCTCCAAATGGATTCCACTATGGTAGACTTGAAAGTGAAGGAATACAGCACACTGAGTACATTCTTGCATAATCTCTATCTTCAAAAGCACCAGAAATTGAAGTGTTCTGATTTCTACTTTATAGCTGGAATTCTGGGAGACCAAAAAAGATGCCAAAGCTGAACCAGGAAGTAGAAAAATAAATGTTGAAATATAAAACCATATAACTCCAAGCCTTGTTTTTTCTCTACTCTCTAAATTGCTTCTCAAAGGACCTGTAGTAGGATTGAGTTAGGGCTGCAGCTAGCTTTTCTAGCTGTAAATAATGAGCTTTTTGCCTTTGTTGCATTTTGTATTTCAGGAGCACCCCACACAAAAGAGCCCAAATGGCAATCTCCTGGTACCCAATAGCTCCAGCAACAGCAGTGTGGAGGGCAGAAGGGATGAGCAGATGCAAGGAACTCCTTCGAAGGCCATGCTACTGCTCTTACAAAGTGCTTTCAGCAAGAACGTACTTTCAAAGCAATCACCAAAGAAGTCTCCAAGTGCAAAGCTCAGAATCCCTTATGAGAGTTTCTATGAAGCCCTGGAAAAGCTCAACAAACCCTCCCAGCTTGAAGACTCTGAAGACAGTCTGTACAGTGACTATGTTGATGTTTTCTATAACACAAAACCTTATAAGCATAGAGATGACAGGCTGCTGCAAGCTCTTGTGGACATTCTCAATAAGGAGAATTAAAATAAGTCTGTGGCCTCAGTTGGAAATCTTCATGCACCCTCCTTTTCCTTAGATTTTCCTGGGTCCAGGAATTGTTGTGTCCCTGGTTCCTATGCTTATAATGTCCTTCACTGTAATTTTACTTTTTCTCCTCAAACTGTTCTTTTGGAGTGAGTTCTAAAATGAAAGCCAACTTCATCATTAGTCTCACAGTTTAAGAATATATCTTCCCTGTCTATCCTGTCTATATAAGTGAAGCAACTTCTTTCTAAAGTCACTGTTGGGATACAGCCCTTTGCCACAGTAGAACAGCTCCTAAAGCCTCCCAATTTCATATCTCACAAGAATAGGACAAGAGTGGGAGATCCATTTTATTTGGAAAAGTAATTGACAAAGGTAGCTTGGGGACTACAGTTTATTCTGTTCCCCTATTTTTTGCAATGAGGTTCTTTGAATTTTGATAACAAAGTATTTATAAAGCATCTAATGAAAAAGTTCACAACTAGGTTCATACCCTAAGTCTTTCTACAACATATATTGCTCATGCTGAGGCTGATAATCTGACTATTTTGCAGAATCTAGAATAAACTGGATTACTTAAATTCAAAAACAGATCTTAAAATTTAATTAGCTAGAATAGTCATACAATGTACCTCTTGACTGGAGTAGAGGTCTCTGTGGGTTGAAAGGTAGCTGTGACCCATGTTGTATAAGACTTGGCCTTCTATTTCCCCTTTGTGCCTTGTATGTTTTCTTTTTGAGCTACAAACTTAAAACTCAAAGAAATAATTCATGCCATTTTCTCAGAACAAAATTATTCTTGAGTTTTGGCAAATTTGTTGTCATAGTTTTATTTAATAACATAGTTTTTGCTTAATAACAAGGAGTCACTCAAAAATATAGAGAACCAACAGTAATATAGAGTAATAACAGGGAAAATGTTGGTAAAGCAGAAAAGCAACAAGGAACATTTTGCAAGCTGCGTTCCTAGGACAGGTTCTTCTGTCTTTCTATGTGAGTGGTCATTTATAGACACCACAGGATCTTCTCTAGTCTGAGAGGACAGTATTTAAATTCTTACCAAAATGTTTCCATGTTTCAAATTAGGAAACAGGTGGACAACACTGAGGTCTTATTTGTACTTTCTATAAGTTATGCAGAATATTTCAGAAGTGTGAAGGACTGATGAAAGTATGAGATCACACATAAAACCTGATTCTCAGACCCATCTTCCATCACAGCAATAGCTAGCCAGAGATAACCCCTTCCAAGTTAAGATTCAAAGTCCAGCCTTCACTGGCTCACGTTATTTTTTCTGCAATAACCACTTTATTTGTTACTACGCATCATCCAATAGCCATTTATTCCTTTTTAATTATCATCTGTTAGTTGAAGGAAGTAAGGTTTCATTTTGACATTCTCATACACATGTGCTTGTACAATGTCTAGCCTGCATTAGCATCTCTTCTGTCTCTCCTTGCTTGTCCTCTTGCTCTTTACAAGTATTCCCACTTCCAAGTCCATGCATTTTATCTAGTCCAGATTCCATATATAAGAGAAAATGTGATGTTTGTCTTTCTATGCATATAACTTTGCCCACTCCTATACTAAGTGAATCTATATATGGTGTAAATGCATTAGGGAAAGTATTTCCTGCAATTATTTCCAAGAAGTCTCTGACATTAATAATTGAGTTTGCTATGAGCTAGTTAAATTGTTGCATTTATAAGTAAAAAGAGTACTTCAAATCCTAAAAATACCTCTGAAGTCTCCTTTAATATGAACACTTGATCTTATCTCACCTGGATGTTTATTTGTACTATTCATTAACTAGAGACCACTTCTCTTAATATGCCAACATACACTCTAGTTAACTCTGTGTCTGTGTTCTTCCACTGAGTTTCTGTTTGCAAATTTTCTACAAAGACTACACCCACTCCTAACATTGAACTAGCTCAAAAAGACAGTTTATTTGCCTTTGCTTTGAGTGGGATTAGTAGCACAAAATTTCACTTCCTGTTTCATCATTTGTATATAACAAAGCCCTCTTTAGAGCCTTGCCCTTGATACCTCTGTCTTTTAAAGTTTTGCATTGTGTTTACTATAAAGATTAAATGAAATGTTTACTATTATAGCACATTACAACTGAAAAAGACTTAAGAGTTATAACATTAAATTTCAGCTACTTAGAAAAGCCCTAAAGAATGATATCACTAATTGACAATTAATATGTGATTTAAAAAAAATAAAAGAGTTGGAGGTCAACCCCACCCTTTCTTGGTCCTTATGCTAAATTATGAAATTTTCTTCAGCCCTTTCTAATAATATATTTCCTCTCTAAGAACCCCAACCAACTCATGGGCTACAGCCAAAGGTTCACTTGGATAAGCTTTAATATTTAGACAATACCATGCTTGAATGTTTCCAACCTGAAGTATATATTGTCTAGACATAAAAAATATTTTTGTCAGTCTTTCTTAGTGCCTATGTGGATTTTTCTGAAAATGTTTAAAAAAAGGATAATTATATAATGTTACCCTTGGAATTTTAAGATATATTTTCTTTACAGGTATTTATAATGTACCAATGCTTTTATCAAACAGAATTTTTAAAAGCATAATAAATTATATTAAAGAACCAAAAGCTTTCATGAGAATAATAATGTTTCATCCAATAAAATAGCTTTGACAGGCATGTCCCCTTGTGAATGGAAAAGTGTATATATATATATATATATATATATATATATATATATATAAATTTGTGATACTAAAAGTTATGTTTATCTAATAGTCTAATACAATGTACAACTGAGTCTAACATGGTCTTAGAATTCTTCATGGAATTCCTATATTACACACTTGATGTATTAACCAGAATATGTAAATAAAGCAGAAGAATAAATGGTTCCTCACTAAGTCAAAAACGAAAACTTCATGTTTCCAACCAATGCAAGTTCTCTCTTTTTCCCAAAATGTTTCCCAATGGACTTTCAAAAAAACAGAATGTTTATGTTAAAATGTTGAGTAACTCATTTTCAGGAAACCAGGCTCTCCTAGAGGCAAATTAAGTACCTACTTCTGCAGGCATGTTTTATCTTCAGACCCAACCCAGGCTTTCATGATCATGACAACACAAGAAAACTATCTGACTGAGCCTTAACCAAGGTGCGGAAGAGGAGAAAAGGCAGGTAAATGGAAAGGATTCCCTATCTCAGAGAAATTATTTATGACAGTTTGGTTTATAGCCAATGTACAGCAGGAAGATGTGACTCCTTCTACTATGTCCCTTTATCAAACCTCCAGTTTCATCCTCAGGACACTTTGCTACCACACAAGCTACCACGCCTAGAGTTTCTACTAGCTTAGAAACTGATCCTTATGTCCCTGAGAGTGGGATTTCCTGGATAACCATGTTTTTTTCTCCTAAGAAGTCATTCATCTGAACTAAAATAATATTTCAAGTATTCTAGAGGGGTTTTCTAATTGGGCTTTGTCCTTCCAGTTTAGACATACTCCAAGTCTTCCCATTAGTGTTGGCCAGAGGCCTGGACATTTTCTGTCTGTGATACCAACATGATGTTTTAACATATATAAATATAGAAAAAATTATTGGTAACATGAAGTAAATTAACTTTCAGGCCCATCAGATGGTCATCACCCTCTCTTGATTTATGACAGGATTAATTCAACTGCAAACAATAAGATGGAACAGGCTGTAACTCTCATGCCAGATATTACATGACCACACTGGTTCACTTGTTTATCTTACATAGCTACAGTTCTGTACCCTTTCATTTCCTGTTTCCATCTCCGTAGGTTCAAATCCCCTTCTTCTCTGTAACGACTTTTCCATTCTTTGTAAACATCTGCTTATATGAGGTCATTGCAGGACTTTCTGTTTCAGTTGTTTTACTTGCTGTAATATTCTCCAGTTGGAACTATGTTGTTTCAACTATCAAGTTACCTTGTCCCTCTCTCTAGAGTATCTTTTTACATACTTCATTCTGGCCTGAAAATCATAATTCTGCTACCTCAGCCTCCTAAGTGCTGTTCTTGCAGGCATGAATGTCTTTAATATTTCATTTTTGCCTTTGTATATTTCATTTTATATATATACATAATTTCATTGGTATACCACAATATTATATATTACATATAACTTACATGCTATGATTTTTTAATCTACTTATGTTAGTGATCTTTGTTTCTTTTTGAACATCCACTTCATAAATATTGGATTAACCTTATGAAGACTGTAGAAGTTAAGAGAAATGTGGCTTTGCGCTATCTGGAATGTACCTGATGTGTCTTAGATTAATATGAAAGCACATCCCTGGAGTACACATCTGTTTTTGAAGCACCACATATCATTCTAGTAGTTTCAGATATTTATAGTTTGAGAGAAATTACTTAAGAAAACAGGTCAGATTTCCTCTGGTACTATTATTGGAAGTCAGAAGGCTGCAGCCTTGTCAAACTGAATCTATACCCCCAAGATATGGAAAAAGCCTATCCTTCCATGCTGATGTCATGGCTAAACATAGACTTCAACATTACTTTAAAATTTTTATTAAAATAAAATCTAAGCTAATATGTTTTGAAATGGAACCTCAGGCAATGACATGTATATCTGGTTTACTTATAATGTAATATCACATAACAAAAGTGAATCATGCATAACTCAAAGTAACACAGAAGTGTAATTAATAGGCATGTAGGCACATAAAACTTACAGGAGGCTAAAACAAATATCTCAGCTGATGCTGGCACTGGCCAAATTCAGAACAGACACATTGAACCAACAACTCTGCCTTGGCATTTCCATTACCTTCTGTCAGAACTTTGCTATAATCTTAGGGTAGACGGCTAAATGTGATTGACAGCGACTAAGTTCTCAACATTTACAAGAAAGGCAGCCATTACCATAGAGAAAATTCTGGTGTGAAAAATAACAAGTAATTTGTGTTCACCTTGAGATTTTGCTTCAAAATTAGGGAACATTTTCCATATCTTGTTATATAAAGTCATTTTGTAAGCATTTTTCTTAACAATGCATAGGCAAGGAGGTGACTATGGACACGTTATGTGCATCATTTTTATTGGATATTTTATTTACATTTCAGATGTTCTCCCCTTTCCCCATTTCCCCCTCCACCCAGAAATCCTCCTATCACATCCCCTCCTCCTGCTTCTATGAGGCTGTGCCCCCACTCCCCCACCCACTCCCACTTCCTCACCCTCAAATTCTTCCACATTGGGACATCCAGCCTTCATGGTAACAAGGACCTCCTCTCTCACCTATGCCCAACAAGGACATCTTCCCCTACCTATACAACTGGAGCCCTGTGTCCCTCCCTATGTGCTCACAGACTGGTGGTTTAAACCTTGGGAGCTCTGGTTGGTTGATATTGTTGCCCTCCCCATGAGGCAACAAACCCCTTGAGCTCCCACACTCTTTTCTTTAACTTCTCCATTAGGAACCTCATTGGTTCGTTGGTTAGCTGTGAGCATCTGCCTCTGCATATGTCAGACCTTGGCAGACCTCTAAGGAGACACTTCCTAGCATCCACATAAGCATTTTCCTTTGGTGAGTGCACATGGGATGGATACCCAGGTGGAGCAGTCTCCAGACAGCCCCTTCTTCAGTTTCTGTCTCATTCTCTGTCTTCATATTTGCTCCCATGAGTATTTTGTTACTCCTTCTAAGAAGTATCAAAGCACCCAGACTTTAGTCTTCCATCTTCATGAGCTTCATATAGTCTGTAAGTTATATCTTGAGAATTGTGAGCTTTTGAGCTAATATCCATTTACCAGTGAGTGAATACCATGTGTGGTCTTTTGTGATTGGGTTACCTCACTCAGGATGATATTTTGTCGTTTCATCCATTTGCTTAAGAATTTCACAAACTCATTGTTTTTAATACCTGAGTAATATTCCATTGTATAAATGTACCACATTTTCTGTATCCATTCCTCTGTTGAATGACATCTGGGTTCTTTCCAACTTCTGGCTATCATAAAGAAGGCTGCTATGAACATAGTGGAGCATGTGTCTTTGTTATATGTTAAGCATCTTCTGGGTATATACCTAGGAGTGATATAGCTGGGTCCTCAGGTGAATATTTTGAAGAACTACCAGACTGATTTCCAGAGTGATATAGCTGGGTCCTCAGGTGAATATTTTGAAGAACTACCAGACTGATTTCCAGAGTGGTTGTATCAGCTTGCAATCCCACAAAAAAATGGAGAATTCCTCTTTCTCCACATCCTCAACTGCATCTGCCATCACCTGAGTGTTTGACCTTAGCCATTCTGACTGGTGTGAGGTGGAATCTCAGGGTTGTTTTGATTTGCATTTCCCAGATGACTAAAGATGTTGAACATTTCCTTAGGTGCTTCTTGGCCTTTCAAGTTTCCTCAGTTGAGAATTCTTTGTTTAGCTCTGTACCTCATTTTTTAATAAGCTTATTTGGTTTCTGGAGTCTAATTTCTTAAATTCTTTGTATATATTGGATATTAGCCCTCTATCATATGTAAGATTGGTGAAGATCTTTTCCCAATCTCTTGGTTCCCATTTTGTCCTATTGACAGATCCCATTTGTCAACTCTTGATCTTAGAACATTGGTGTTCTGTTCAGGAACTTTCCCCCTGTGCCCAAGTATTCGAGGTTCTTCATTACCTTGTCTTCTATTCATTTCAGTGTATCTGGTTTTATGTGAAGGTCCTTTATCAACTTGTACAAGGAGATAAAAATGGATGGATTTGCATTCTTCTACATGCTGACCTCCAGTTGAACCAGGACCATTTGTTGACAATGCTGTCCTTTTTCCACTGGACAGTTTTAGCTCCTTTGTGAAAGATCAAGTGCCCATAGGTGTGTGGGTTCATTTCTGGGTCTTCAATTCTATTCCATTGATCTTCCTGCCTTTCTCTGAACCAATATCATGAAATTTTTATTACTATTACTCTGTAGTACAGCTTTAGGTAAGTAATGATGATTCCTCCAGAAGTTCTTTTGTTGTTGAGAATAGCTCTCACTATCCTGGGTTTTTCATACTACAAATGAATTTTCAAATTGTTATTTCTATATCTATGGAGAGTTGACTTGGAATTTGAATGGAGATTGCATTGAATCTGTAGACTGCTTATGGCAAGATGGCAATTTTTACTATATTAATCACAACAATCCATGAGCATGGAAGGTCTTTCCATCTTCTGAGATCTTTGATTTCTTTCTTCAGAAACCTGATGTTCTTGCCTCTGGAACTTTCACTTGCTTGGTTAGAGTCACATCAAGGTGTTTTATATTATTGGTGACTATTGTGAAGGGTGTCATTTCCCTAATTTCTTTCTCATCCTGTTTATCCTTTGAGTAGAGGAAGGCTACTGATTTGAGTTACTTTTATATCCAGCCACTGTGCTGAAGTTGATTATAAGGTTTTTTAGTTCTCTGGTGGAATTTTTGGGGTCATTTACTATATATCATCTGCAAATAATGATTCTTGCTTTCCAATTTATTTTCCTTTGAACTCCTTTTGTTGTGTAATTGCTCTGGCTAGGACTTTGAGTACTCTATTAAACAGAAAGGGAGAGACTGGGCAGCCTTATCTAGTCCCTGAGTTTAGTGAGATTGCTTCAAG